AATTTTTCGAGCAACGACCCACTAGCAGATATTTTTAGATCACTCTCCTCGGGTTCGGGGGAGGCAGATCCGGGTATCTATACCCTTCTCAGATCCCATCTTCCCGGGTCATGAGATACGTTAGGATGCAAACGACCCTCCTTCACGAAGCATTTCCTGAAATTTGACGACATCCCCGTGCGTCGGCAGCTTTATCCACAGTCCTGGTCCTCTCAGCGTCGAGATTATGCGCTGACTTTTTAGCCGAGCTCCATAAGAGTTGCAGCTCTCCAGGGGCTGCGATTAGCTGCCGCTGGCTTAGTCAGGAAAGGATTCGTGGAGCCGCTGAGTCTTGTTGCGCTCTACACCGGGCATCCGCGGCTGCGACCGGGTAGGCCTGTGCTCCCGGCCTGAGCCGGGGGGGAACAAGGGGGGAGAGAAGGGGAAGGGGAAAGGGAAAGGGAAGGAGAAGGGGGGTGAGAAAGAGAAGAGGGAGAGGAGTGCCGAGGTGTTGGGTGCGAAAGAGGCCGGAGAGGTTGGCGTTGAGGGGTCGGGAGTGGGCGAACAAGGCGTTGAGGAATGAGGATTTGGAGGTGTGGTTTTTTAGGCTGTTGTTGGAGTAAGTTTTCTTTCTCCTTTTTTTCTGGCTTCCTTTCCTCCCTATTTTGCCACCCCCTCCTTGGTTTGGGCTCAGCAAGAGAGAGTTGGAAATGCTAACCTGGCCAACTAACAGATACGGCCGCGTCGTGGATGACGACAGAGAAAATATTGGATACGCTGGCTGAGCTGAGCGGGCCGAGCTTGAATATTTAAGACGGAGGGGGCCGCCATTGGATGGTGTCCCCGGCCGTTGTGATATATACTTTGTCTATAATCATAGACTGCTGACCCCTCCTCCTCGCGGGCAGGGGTCAGCGGAGCGTGGGTTGGATCGGTCGGATCGGTTTGGAAAGGAAGAATGGGGCTGGCTGGCTGGCGTTCTTGTTTGTCTGCTCCGGTTGGATCGAGCGAAGTGTAGAAAGCGGGTATGGATAACTACTAGGACCGTGGTTTTGGTGGCAGGTATTTGTTGTATTCAGACTTGTATCACGGTTAGCGTAGTAGTAATGGTACATTTGCCGTTCTCCCATGGTTGGTGTCTTAGTCTGGCTGGGTTCACTCGGTGCGAAGTCCTGGATTGCATTGCATTGCATGTCTAAAACCCATCCATTTTTGGCATAATTACCTGTCAAACTCCGCGCTCAAATGAGTGGCCTAAAAATACTAACTTGTTTTCTCATTTTCAAAATTAGCCTCCCCACCTCATCATTCCTCCTCCCCCTCTGCATCCTCCTCATCGGACTGCCGCCTCCCCCCGTTCGCCGCCGGAGGGCTGGCCGAGTCGCGATCGCTCGCCTCCTCCCGCGCCCGACCGTCCTCCCTCTCCCTCTCGGCGTACTCGTCCGCATCCCCGTCCTCCTCCTCCTCCTCTTCCTCGGGCAGATCACCAACGGGCTGCCTCTTGTAGCGCAGCAGCTCGGCCTTGAGGTCGTCGCCGGGCTCGTCGATGCGCACGTGCAGCTCGTCGAGGTGGGTCTCTTCCTCGTCGGTGATGCCGATGGTGCGGGCGATGTTCTTGGTGCGCTGGTTGCGGATGGTGGTGCGCTGCATGACGGGTATAGTAGTAGACGGCCTTGTGGGCGCTGTCGTCGGTGCGGCCCTTGGTGGTGCTTTCGTCGTCGCGGAAGGCCAGGATGACTTCCTCGTCGTACTTGTTGTCGTGGTCCATCTCTTTTTCCTGCGCCGTCTCGTACGCGCGCACTCGCGGGAAGCGGAAGCTGCCGCCGGCTTCGCTGCTGGTGTAGAGGGACCGGCTCTCGCGGTCTGGGTTGTCTACATCGAACTTGGTGCGGAAGTGTTCGCCTGTGAGGGTGTCGGCCGGGAGGAAGAGGTCGTAGTTCATCATTTGGGATGGCTTGGGCTGGGTCGGGTCGGCCTCCCAGGCGGCCCGGGCGTTTTCGTAGATCTGCTCCTCGGCGGCGGTACGCTCGATGGGCTTGAAGATACCCGACAGCAGGCGCGTATCGTACGAGTCGGTCGAGTTGACTGGGTTGCTGCTGAACTTGACGGTCACGTATGCGCCCGAGTCGGGGAAAGCTTCGAGGTCGGGCAGAATGGGTAAGGCATCGACAACCTTGAGGTTCCGCTTTGAAGGGTGCTTGACGCGCGTCCTGCTCGGCGAGGTTGGCGGTTGCGACCTGGAAGCTCTTCTCAACGCGCCGCTTAATCCAGGCGGGCGTGCCCTTGTCTGGCTCAGGCGAGGCCTTGCGCTTCAGGGGGCGTTTTTGGGCATTGCCAGACGAGGCTTTGAGGAACACATTGTCGGTTCCCTTTGGCTTCGCCTGCACCGAGGAGATGTACTTCGGTGCGCCTGAGGAAGGAAACGGCTGTGTCGCCAATCTTGGGCTTTCCGAGCTGTGAGATGCCGCGAAGAAGGGGCTGGTCACGGGGATGAGGGGGCGGCGCTTGAGCGGGAGCTTGGATGGCTGTTTGGATCGGCGTGTCAGTGTTTGCTCAGGCTGGTTTGAAAAGAAGGGGCGGATGGGGAGGACTGACAGCTCTCGTCGCCATCAAAAACTCCCGGCATCCCGACAAGATCCAAGGGCATCCCGAGCTCGGCATCGGCTTCAATATTCAGGGGTTGCTCTCGCGCCAAACGAGAAGCGAAGCTAGGCGCTGTGTATTGGCCGCTCGCAAGCCCCGTGTTGGGGATGTCGAGCAGCTTCGGGGGGTTTGGTGGTGGAGGAAGTGCATTGGAGTATCGTATCCTGGCAATGTAGTCCTGGTGAATCATGCGTTCGCCGCCGCCTCTCGATTGTGAGGACGACATTTTGTGCGATGTTGGTGTTTTCGTGGTGTGTCAAGAGAGTTCAGAGCTGGTGTACTTTGTAAAACGATGCGATTGAGTTGAAGCGCGGCGCGCGATTCGGCTTGGCACTGGACGAGGAAGCGAGCATCCAAAACCTAGCCGGGTTAGGGTCTGCTGTGGCGATGTTCGTGTGCCGGCCGGGACCTACACAATAAGAAAGGGAAGAGTGGAATCCTATTGTACAATAAGTGGAAGAATACCCCAGTACCAACTGTGAGTACAGATGAAATAGAAGCAAGAAGGATGTAATATGTGGGAAGCCATTGATGCAGCGCCCTGGAACGGATTTGCCTTTACCTACCTACCTATCCCGTCTGCTTGCAAGTCCGGAAGGAATACTCAAAGGCGACGCGAATACCTTTAGGTGGGCGACAGAACCACTTCGCTTGATTGACATCGTTTCGTACAAAGATACAACGAAGATATTCCGCCCGCCATCCTATTCCACCGCCTCCTATCATCATCGCCCTCCCGTGCCCGTCCCGCTCCCGCACCCTATAGCAAAGCGCCCCCTTTCGAAAGGCAAAGATTACGCCGAGCCTGCCCGCCCCCCCAAAACCCACACAGGTGCGGCGGCTGCGGGCTGATTAAAAATATGAGTACATACGTAGAGTTTTCCAGGACCGTCGTGAGCTCCGAGCATGCGTCATAATACATTGAGAACTGTAGTAAAGATACCCCCGCCGTTCTATCGCCAAAAGCCGGTCCCATGCGTCCAGTCTCCCGAAATAGCGCGCCAGATCGACGGGGTGTGTCCGTCTCTCCGGGCTGTCGAAAAAAAGGTTCAGGCGCTATTCTTAGTGTAGCGCGCCTTGCCGACGGTGAAGGGGACGTAGCGGTACTTGATCATGTGTTGAATCTGCTTCCTCACTGTGGTTGGTACATGTCAGTATTCTGCAACACTCTCTCATCGGATATCTGTTGAGGGGCAACCTACTGGTCAAGATGAACAGCATGAACCAGTACATGACCAGGACGGGCCAGAAGACGGGCACGTTGAAGACCTCAAACCAACTGCACGCAAAGGAAATGGCAACGGCGCGGGTGGCCGAGTGCCAGAACTTGAACTCGGGCAGGCGGCGGATGAAAGGCCGGAATTCCTCGTCCTGCTTTGTGGGGAGGGAGCCGATGGCGCCATCCTCCATGTCGTTGTCGAGCGCATCGTTGGACGGGTCGAATTTGGGTTGGAGGAAGGCGAGGAAGAGGTTCAGGAGGTAGATGCCGAGCGCATATGCGACTATTCAGAAGGTTAGTCCGAGGCTCTACCATAGAAGACTGCTGTTTCCCAAGTTTGGATCACTAACCAATATACCAGCCCTGTGCAAAGAACACGCGCACGAAGAAGAAGAACAGGGCGACGCCGGTGCCGATCCAGCGGTAGAGGACGAAAGGGGTAGACTGGTCGAGGAGTGCTTGGTATTGCTGCAGGCCGGTTAGCGACATGACAAGACGGGTATTCGACACCACAATTCCTCTGTCGCAACGTACCCTCTGCAGCTTGTTAGTCTGCGCAGTGACAGTGCTGAAAGGCGTCTGCGGCTCGTCTGGGACATCCATGGTGAAAAGAACTGGGTGTGCCGAAGGGTGCTCGTCGAAGGAATTCGAAGGGTTCCAATCGTATAATCGTACTACTGGCGAAGGTTGGTTGAAGAAGTGAAGAAAACGAGGGTAGAAAGCGAAAGCGGAAAGTTGCCCGTTGCCCCGTTGCGCGTCCTTTGATACACGATTGACAGCGTAGCGGCGTTGGATAAGCCACCTCTGAGAGTCCACCTTCTGAGAGATTAGGGGGAAATTTTTGGGTGTGGCACTGCGACGATCCCGGACTTTTGGTTCGATTTGGTGCTTGGCGCCGAGCGGGCAATCTGTGGCGCAAGCTGTGGTCTGTTTCAAGTGCTTGGCGGACAGTGTGAGAGTGTTGAGCTCTGACGTCGCTGTTCCAGGCCCAGAAGCAGCCATCTCAAAGTACATACCTTACCCTGAACAGCAATTCATGTTCCCATTCAGAGTTTGTCACATCCCTAAAGAACATTCATAGCCACTTTTCATAATTTTAGATCTTGAGGATATCTACTTTCCAGCTACTTTAATACTTATTCAGCGTAGGAACTGTAAACACGCTCTAGCCGGTGACATGTGCTTAAACCGAGGATAACCTGCAGGCTAAGATAAAGTGGGATGTTAGCGACAATCAACTGCACCGTTAGACCGAGCATCCTCCCAGCTTCAACCTTTTGATCCGGAAACTCTCATCCCCAATCTCAGCAGGATCCAACACCACACAACCACCAAGATGAACGCAGCAGCAGCAGTCCGTGCCAATGCCCTCCGAGGCCTGCGGCCCATGGCTTCCCGCTTCCAGCCGAACACACTCCCCCAGATCACCCGCTCCTTCTCGGCTTCTGCCCGCCGTAGCTACGAGTTCATTGAGGTATCAGAGCCCCGGCCAGGCGTCGGACAAAGTAAGCACACACACACACATCCACCCCAAACCACACTTTCTTCATCCCAATCCCCAACCAATCCAAGACAAGACCCCCTCACTAACCTCCCCTCCCTCCCCCTTCACAGTAACCCTCAACCGCCCCAAAGCCCTCAACGCCCTCTCCTCCCCCTTAATCAGCGAACTCAACACCGCACTGCGCACCTTCCAAGCCTCGCCCACCATCGCCGCGGTGGTGCTCACCGGCTCGGAGCGTGCCTTCGCCGCGGGGGCCGACATCAAAGAGATGGCGCCGCTGACCTTCAGCGGGGCGTACACGAACTCCTTCATCGAGTCGTGGTCGGAGCTGACGACGGCGCTCAAAAAGCCCCTGGTGGCCGCCGTGTCGGGCCACGCGCTCGGCGGCGGCTGCGAGCTCGCCCTGATGGCCGACGTCCTGTACTGCACGGCGACGGCCAACTTCGGGCAGCCCGAGATCAAGCTGGGCACGATCCCCGGCGCGGGCGGGAGCCAGCGCCTGACCCGTGCGGTGGGCAAGAGTAAGGCGATGGAGCTGATTCTGACGGGCAAGTCGTTTAGTGGCGAGGAGGCGGAGCGGTGGGGGGTGGCGGCCCGCGTGTTTCCGAGCTACGAGGCGCTGATGGAGGGCGCGCTCACGACGGCGGAGACTATCGCCGGGTACTCCAAGGTGGCGGTGCAGGCGGCGAAGGAGGTGGTGAATAAGAGCCAGGACTTGCCGTTGCGGGATGGGGTGGAGTATGAGAGGCGGCTGTTCCATGCGCTGTTTGGGAGCCAGGACCAGAAGATTGGGATGAAGGCGTTTGCGGAGAAGAAGAAGGCCGAGTGGAGCCACGAGTAGAGAGATGCTCTAGGTAGCTTGTGGGATGGGATGTAAACAACAAGTCTTTGATGCTGCTATCCAAAACAGGGGGTATAGGTATATAACCATTCTCATCAAAACCTCCCAAGCACCCGCACATACGGCGCCGGAAACAGTCCGCCAGCACCCATATAAAACCCATGAAACCACTCCCCATTCACATCCTCCAGCTCCAGCACCTCGGCCCCCCTCGGGAACATCAACTCATCCTCCCCCCCAGCGGCCGGCGTCCACCCCCACCCGGCCACCGCCTTGGGCCCGACCCCCCCATCGGGCGGAAACGTCCTCACAAACCGCGCCTCTGTCCCCCCCAACGCAGCCGTATCAACCCTCACATCCTCAGCAAAAAGCCTCTCCACCCTCCTCCCCGTCCCACCACCACCACCACCACCACCACCAGAAGACGCAGCCGCACCACCGCCCTCCACAACCCACGACACGACCTGCACCCCCGGCTCCACCCCACCCACCGCAGCCTCAAACCGCAGCCTCTGCCCCCCCACCAAATCCCGCTCCACCCGCCGCCGCATATGCTGTCCCGCCCCATTCCCATTCCCATTCCCGGCGGCGGCGCCCATCCTTAGGACGTACCTCATTACCACCATCCGGTGACCACGCAGACAACGCCACCACCCTGCGGGGCCGTTCTCGGGCGCGATGCTCCCGTCCACGAGGAGCGCCGTGTAGCAGGGGATGCAAATGTAGGAGCCGCTGCTGTTTGTGGGTGGGGGGGGAGGTTGGGAGGGGTCTTCGTGGAGTTGGGGTTGGGTTGGGTGGGGATTGGTGCAGATGTAGCAGGGGAAGCGGGAGTCTGTTTGGGGGATGGTGAGGCGGCAGGATGAGCAGGGTGGCGTGGAGAAGAGGGGTTGGAAGGTGCCTGTGGCGGTTTTTGTTTGTTGTTGCTGTTGATGATGATAGTGGGTGTGTGTTGTTGGTGGTACCGGTTGGGGTGGTTGTGGTGGTGACGGGTGGGGAGGTCAGGGAAGAGGAGAAAAGGGGGGGTGGGGGGTTATAGGCCAACGCAAGCAGCGGGTGGGAGCATGACTTCCCTTGCTCGACGCAGCCGTTGCAGAACCCCCACTCGCCGTCGTTGCAGACGTCGCAGCGCCAGTAGCAGTCGTTGGTGAAGGCCGAGCAGCAGCTGCAAAAGGTGCCGCTCTGTAGGCGGTCGAGGGGGTTCTCCGTGGTGAGAACGCGCCGGCCTTCGGCACCGCCCGGTACTTGCTTCGGGGGTAGGTAGCGGTTGTTTGTGAGCGTATGTGGATGGGGTGTGGGCGGCCCGCTGAGATTCTGCTTCTCCCAGCGTGCCCAGGCAGCGGACCCGAAGCTGAACCAGTGCAGGCAGCCCTTGCGCCGGCGCCAGCAGTCGAGGCAGATGTTCCACTCGCCGTTGTGGCAGCGGTAGCAGTTGAAGTGAAGTTCGTATTCGATGTGCTCTTTGTGACAGACACTGCAGTTAATCAATGGTTCCTTGTAGCGCGGTAGTTGTGGTTGCGGAGGGGATGGAGGTGGATTAGAAATCAGGGTTGGGCTGATAGGCCCCGAGACACTGCCCAGTGTTGGTGATTCCGGCCGAACGTCAACGGTTGGTGGGCGGCTAGACCGCTGCCTGCTGCTAGCTGAGCTGGATCGAGTTTCCGCTTGGGAAATGACTCCTAGACCACCGGCTGCTCGGGCGCTGAACGGAAGCTCTCGGTTTCTCGGGGAATCCATCCGTGACACCGGTGCCGTGGCGGATGTGGGTGAGCTTGAGCTCCTAGCCTCGATGCCCATGCTCGGTCGCCTGACATGTGAATCGGTGGCCCCTGCTCTGGAGGTGAGGTCCGTCTGCGCGCGAGACCCGACTCTGATATCAGCCGCAGCCTGGGTAGGCACAATAGGCAGGGTAGCGCTTCGACCGCCACTGCTGGAGGCCCGCCGCCTCCTTGTCGGTTCCTGTACCCCGAGCAGCGCCGAACTAGAAGGGGGATACCGCCCGCGTTCCTCATTGCTGCCCACACTCGGCGCCCTCGAGCGAGGGGCGTGTCTGCTCGTCGGCCGTGAAGTCTCATCCGTCCGCGACCTAGGTCTCGCCAAGATTTCCGACCGATGGGAGTTCGCGCTGGCGTTGCTCCTCCTCCCGCCATCCCTCCTCCTCTCGCGATGCCGTCTCCTATACGCCTCGGTAATCTTCCGACTCAACTCATCGTTGTTCTCCAGATCAAGATTATCCAGATCCAGCCCATCCAACAACCCCTCCTCCTGAATCTGCCTCGCAAACGCCTCCACCTCCCTCTCAATATCCCTAATATCCATCCCATCCGTACTAATCAAACTCCTCAACGACGACTGATGCTCCACCTGCCGCGCGCGCACATCCGCCGCCGCCGCCGCCGCACCACCCACCCCATGATCATGCACCTCGCGCCCTCTCTGACGTGATTCACTCCTCCGCCTCCCACCGCCCCTCCCCCCACCGCGAGAAGAAGAAGCAGAAGAAGCCGCAACCCTCTCCGTCGCCTCCCTCAAACTAACGGCCCTCGCCTCCTCTACCAGCCTCCTCTCCTCCTCATCCGCGCGCCTCTCCTCCTCCGTCCGCTCCTCCACCCGCCTCACCCTCGGCATCACCCTCTCCCCCTTCCTATACCTCGCGTCCATCTCCCTCTTCTCCTCCTCGCTCTTCCCCCTTCCGGGATTCAGCGCCACAAACATGTCCAGCAGGCTAAACACGCGGGCGTCGTGCTTGGTGTCGCGCACCCCGTCGCGGCAGCTGGGGCACGTGAAGATGGGGACGGAAGGGGGCGGCGGCGGACCGGGGGCGGTCTCGATGCGCTCGGCTTGGAAGTGGAACCATTCTTTAAGGCAGGCGCCGCAGAAGGTGTGCAGGCAGTCGAGGAGGGTGAGGGGTTGGTGGAGGAGGTCGGTGCATATCTTTTTTTTTTTTAAAGGGGGGAGGGGGTTAGTTGTGAGCTGGCTTTTGGAGGGGATGGATGGGTGGTGGGCTTACGGAGCAGGTTAGTTGCGCTTCGAGGTTAGGCGCCAGTACGGGCGGTGTTGCTCGCTGGGGGGAGTCGGCCATGTTTGTTGTTGTGGTGGTTGGAGATGGTGGTGGTGGTGATAGGTGGTGGTGTATGGTCGGGACCGGACCCGACTGTTTGGTAACCCAATGCTGAAGATTAGGACCAAATCCGGGGTCAGGTAGCGGGGTTGTTGGGATGAATTTCCGTCAGGCTTCTTCGAGTGGCACCTTCGTTCGTGCCTGGTTCGTTCGGACGGTACCGGGACGGGCCGTTGCAGATCTCGCAGGGAACAAAAGAAAGAAAAGAAGAACAGAAGGAAATTGGGTGTAAATGGGAAGGAAGTCTTGTCGGACTACCTACCACCCATCCACATATGCATGCGACAGTTCAGCGTAGTAAGCTCGAAAGACGGCACCGAGAAACCGGGCTAACCATCTCGTGTTTCGGTTGAGCCGAGCTGCAGTGGAGTGGGGGCAGAGAGGCCCAAAAGCTGTTCATAGGTCCGGTCTCCAGCCGGTCCATCCACCACCTGCGCGGCATCCGAGGAGCTTCTTTTCACTGGATCAATTCATGGATACTCGTCCCTCTCTCGAGCAAGTCTGACTTCCTTTGTCATATGACTCTTAATAACTATGTACCATATGCATCCTGTAAACCGCTACGGTATGTATGCTCTCTGAATGTGTTACCCATAAACCGCCAAAGGAAACTCGAAAACTCCCTGTAGTGTATGTTGCGCAAAGCCAAGCTCGCATCTTGCTGATCTGAAACTCCAAACGCGCCGCATACCTAACCTAATCAAGGATAATCACAAACAAATCCGTTGCAAATGCTCTTCTTACATCTCTTCGTTGCGCTCGGGGCTGTCGGGGTTACCACCCTCCCATTCTTTGCACATACCATACCACGCCCGATGGACGCACCGACTCTGGGGCGGATCCACGTCTGTGGGTGTTGGCGGGGGCACCGTCGTAGGGCTGGGCATGCTTGGGGGTGGGGTAATAGTGCTCTCAGATTCCTGTGTCGACGTGGCGCCAGGCGCTGCAGAGGTCTCGTCGTTGCATCCCCAGAACCGGCCTGGCGTCATGCAGGTGGTGGTTGCAGTCGTCGTCGTTGTCGTCGTGGTAGTGGTCTCGCTGGTGGTGGTCTTGTCTTTGCATCCAAACCAACCCCTAGTAAAGTTAGCAGAATTCATGCGAGCCTGATATGCTTACTTACGGGGTAAGGCATGTAGTGGACGTGGTCGTGGCCGTTGTCGTTGTTGTTGTGATTTCAGATGTCTCGGTACCAGTCGCAGTGGTCGACTCGTCTAAACAACCCCACCAGCCCCTGAATGGCATTAATAAACATCCACAAATCGACAAGGGAATAAAACCTACGGCGTTTTGCAAGTCTCAGTGCGGGTGCGAGATATGGACGTCGTTGTCGGGGCGCTCGAGGTCGTCGTGGTCTCAGTCCCGTTGCTTTCGTACATCTTCCAGTTGCCACAGTCCCTGCACTCGGGCGTGAACTTGCACTCTGGGACCGTATCGTACTTCAGGATGACGTCCCGAATCACCGCTACGATCTTGTGCGTCCCGATACCGACGCGCCATCCCTTGTCGCCCACGGTGTCGTAAACGCACTCGTGGCCTGTATGGCAGGCCGATTCCAGCGCGTAACCAGCAAACGAGCACGACGCTGTCGCTCCGTTGCAGGACCCCATGTAGATGGGGTCGGCTGTGTGTCCAAAGTGAAAGGCGCCCGTGTAGTCCCTACTCTGGGGCGCATTCGGATCGGCGCCTGGAGGCACGGGTAGCCCCAACCGCCCTGCGGGAAGGGCATCGGGCACCGCTTGGAAGGTCACCACCGGCACGCCATACGTGAGGCCGAGAAACGAGCTGACAGCTCCGCCCAGCGAATGGCCGGCGATCCAGACATGCGAGTCGGGATAGACCTCGGTGACATTGGCGTAGAGTTCGCGCGCCGCCTGGTAATAGCGGTTTTCCTCACGGAGGGCCTGTGTGACGCACGTGTTGTTACACGTATATGTGCCGGTTGCGCAGTCGCAGACTTGATGCCAGGTCCACGGTCCCTGTTGAGCGCAGCAGCAACTGAAGAAGAGGTTATCGTTAACCTTGTCGTTGGTCGTAGTGCCATCTCCGTCGAAGACAGCAGGCGAGGTCCCCTTCAGCCCGATGACGATCGTCGAGTTGTTCTCGTCGGCAAACACGTGGCCGCGCAGCCCATCGCCCTCCCAGCCAAAGTCGAGGCTCCGGTTGAACGGAGCGCCGACGTCTTGCCAATCCGCTTTTCCCGGCCCTTCCACGTAGGCGTTGGCCGCCATCAGGGCCATGGTCAGGACGGTGCCCTTGTCGGTGACGTCGGGCCCGGCAACATCATCGACCGTCCATGCCGATGGCGAGAGCACCGAAACGAACCCTTGCTGCCGTGACTGCGCCACCATGGGGTCTACGACGCTCGGCCTCCGATCCACCAGCCGCTGTATCCGGAGCGCATTGCTTCGAGCTCGTAGGGGCCCGATGCGCTCGGCCTCGTAACCGTCCTCGGCCGCCAGCCACACGTCCGCATTCGACGGGGTAACGTCGTGTTTTCGATGGAGGCTTGGGTGTTTATGGGTGCCGTGATGGTAGACATGTCGGAGGGTCTAAGATGGAACACGGGTAGTCAGCCATCGGTATCGCCGATTACATGCCGTAGCACAGATAACACTGATAGCACTGGGCAACTTACGAATATGTGTTCAGCGGTCGCCGGGGGTTCTGGTATTAATGGGGCGATCGGAGCGACTTCTATCGGGAGAACGAGCTGTGCATCTGGTTTCGTATTTCCTGCCGCAGCGATGGGGGATGCTGACAGGGCGAGGAAGGACAGCAGTAGCCGGGCCGCGACTCGGCCAGTCGAACTGCACGTCGAGCCGGCCTCCCTCCTCTTCGGAAACATGCCAGGCGTTGTATCGATGCGCGTCGACGTTGGGAGCGAAGGGCGTATGCTATGAAGAATGGGAGAATAAAAAAAAGGGGTGTTGTCGTTCGTTACTCCATCAAGCCGAAATGCCCGTAGTGGTTTGGTTTGGTTGGAGAAGCGGAAGATGCGCGTGGCTCGTGGGCGGCACTCAGATGACGACGGCATTGCTCCGGGGTTGGCTGGCACCCGATCGGATGCAGCGCCACCGCCAATCAAGGCCGCTGCCTCGCCCGTTGAGTGAAGAACAGGGGCCCGTATCGGCGATAAGACTGTCACGCGGATTGTGTAGCGGCCCGGCAAGCGGAACCTGCAGAGCGACCCGCGACAGGAAGGGTCCCTAACAGGCACATGATTCACTGCCCCAGACTCGGGCGGGGCGTCTGACGTGCAAGCTTCTATCGCTTCCATTGGCGGCTGCCCGTTGAGAAACTGTTGAGAATCCACTGCAGGTGCCTGGAACTGGTGACGCTTACAGATGCAAGATGGCCCGCAGAGTCCGAGACTTCACCAATTGACATTGTTTCTCCGGATTTCCTCTGGCCTCCTTTGGGGGTCTTTCAAGGCCTTCATGGTTCAAACATCCAGGCCCGCTCTTCGAATCGGCCGGGGCCTCTGACAGAGCCCTGTCGCCCATCCGAGCGGGCACCTTGAAGACCACGCCAAGACCACTTACATTCTTTGTTCGTAGAGTTGAGCGACTGGTCCGTTCCCCATTGGTTTCTTTAGACTTTTAGAATATTGGAATGTCCCGGGTCTTTCTATCATCCGTATAAACCTAGGGCTCGGTTTCAATATCCGTTGTTGCGTTCAGTACCCCCAGTCGAGTCATCCCGTTAGGGTCAGGTTACCTGTACCGGGCTCGGCTTGCGTCGCAAAATCATCCCTTTTGCTCATAAATCATCCCTGTCCGCTCAAAAGGGTCAAAAACTCGTCGTTTTGAGGGCAAGAAAGTGCCCCCTTTAAATAACAAAGAAGATATCGTTATTGTGGGGAGGCCGTGAACGTGAATCAAGAATTAGTGCTTCACTTTTGCTTTGGGTTGAGCTGCTGACGAGAGTTAGCAAACCTCTGGTTATGTGTAAGAACGTTCTTCTGAGGATCAAAACGGTTGGGAACGCGTTCACACTCAGTTTTTACCTCTCCGTTTTCCAATCCCGTTTTCCGTCGTTTTACTGTCGTGTGAATCTAATATCGCAACCACACTTTCACGATTCCTGACCTGCATATACATTCTTCACAGACGCTGATGCAGCCATCCACTCCCTCCAAGCCCAGCGGCATTTTCTCTACATCCGCAGACAATGGAGGGCCATGGCACGTCCACACCTGGGTACAGAGAACCGATAATATTATAACTACCAGAAGAACAGTTCTTACGGTAACGTTCGCCCTCGGCCCCGGCGGCCTTGTTCCCACCCACACGAAGGTGCGTGTGTCCAAATGGACCCATACACAACTGTGTGCCCGAACTCTCCAAGACGGTCTGCAAGGGCCCTTTTCAGCTGATTCCATTACCCGGTGGAGAACCACTTGCGTGGTCCAATTCATTACTCTTTTTCGCTGTGCTTGGGGACTTAAATCAGTTGCTGGACTCCGGGGCACTGTCGGTCGTGCTCCGCAATTGTGTCTGATTCAGACACTGAGAACCAAGACGCTCATGTGATGGTGGGGCACGCCGAACAGTCTGGGTCACAAAGGTGAAGTCAGTCGCAATAAAGGGCCTTCCCTTCGCCGAGGCCCTCCAGACTCAAGTCCGCGGCCGGACTTTTCGGTACGGTCAGTTACATGCCTCGAAGCATTAGTTACAAGCTTGTGTCCCTGCACCCAGCCGAACGCGGCATTCTCGCCCGGCACTGAAAAGAGGAACAACGACTTTCGGCGCATCCTAGCGGAACCGGTAGGATAAACGGGAGAATTCGGGTGCGAAGGCCAGGAGCTCTGATGTCGAGGTAGGAACCGAAACAAACTCTGTGCCGAACTCGAGTTGACATCTGTGTTGTCTTGGTTACTCGGCCCCCCGGCGGCCTTCAGCCATCTGCTGCTCCAACTCAGCCACCCGCCGCTTCAGCACGGCCAACTGCCGCTCCGACTCGGCTCGCGCTTCGGCAACTCGCCGCTCTGACTCGGCTCGCGCTTCGGCAACTCGCCGCTCTGACTCGGCTCGCGCTTCGGCAACTCGCCGCTCTGCTTCCTCATACGGGCTCTCCTCCTCATCACCGACCTCGATGGTGAATTCTGTCGGGTTGTGTAAGTGCCGTGCTTTCCGAAAGATGGCCCGCAGCCGCTCGTAGGTCAGAGTGATTGTAGGGTTTCTATAGAAAGGTTAGATCGGCTTCGAGGTTTAGAATAAGGATAGCAAACCTCGTAATCCCGGCAGCTAACTCGGCGGTCGAGGGGCGACAATAGGCCGGTGGTAAACCAGCAGAACCAAGAAAGTCAGAGAGATAGAGATCGACTTGACCACCGGGTTGTTGATCGAGATCATGATAGTAGAGGTCGTGCTGTAGAAGCCAGCCGTCCGCTGTAAGCAGGCTTACCCAAGCCTTCTTCATACCGGGGTATTGAAGCTTAAGGATAAGAACGGCTTGGATCTTATCGTCCAACAGATCGATATATTGGCGTGCCTTGTTCTCCACATGTTGGCGAGACTCGCTCTAGGAGACCTCGCAAGCCAGAGCAGGTAGAGAACCGACTGGACCAAAAGAGACATCGGCTTGCTTGAGAAGTTTACCATCGACCCAGATTTGAGCTGTGCCTTGTTCCGCGACCAACCGTATCAGGTTACGGATTGTAGGGTCCTTGGTATTGGTATACAACTTTCCAAGAGAAGCTTTAAGGTAGTCGCGGAGACCAGCTTGAACCTGGTAGTGAAATGGAGATTCGGACATGATGTCGAGATATGCAGTTCCAGATTCGTAATTATATTCGACTCGTCGGATCTTCAGTTGGTCGAGTTCCAGCAGCCTAGCATCCAACTGTTCAAAAAGATCATATATGCGGCTTGCCTTCCAGTGAAAGGCAATGATCGACTCGGTACCACTTTGGCGAGAGTTGACGATGTGGCTAACAATCTGGTCAATCGTGGAGACCTCTAGCCAAACCTAACCGGGGTCAGCAATCGCCATGTGCACAGACACGAAACAGAAGGAAACGTAAAATACCAGCTCGGCGTGGCCCTCATCTTCTGAAGAGGCAGGCGATGCCGGCCTCTCCGAGGAAGTGGGAGTCTTTTGTGAAGCCATCGCCGGTGCAGCCAACGTCACGATAACTCGATTGGCATTTGTTTGGAGGACGAAGGTTCGAAGAATTCGTGCTTACCTGTGCGAAGAATCATAAGCGAGTGGTCCGAGCGCCTTTTAGCGCCTGGTGTGATGTTCTGCAAGGTGGTCCGAGCGGAATATGAGGCTGAGGGAACAAGAACAGCAACGTGCACCTTTTGCACAACTGCCATCAAGACCTGCCTCCGCAAAGTCAGCTGGTGTGGAGTCGGACGGATCCGAACGAGTTCACTCGTGCAGAAGAACAATAATAAAGTAGAGAAAAAGGAGTTTTAGAGGATAAAGAGAGAGGAGGAAGGCTACAATAGGCAGCCAGGCCAGCAAGGCGAGTAGGGCCTATACCGAAGCTAAGGGGTTCGGCATAGTTGGTTTATATTCCCGAACCGGGGATGGAATCCTGGTACCGTACGAGGGGGAAACAAAATACAGAGAACGGGCGATACCTTCCGGCCTTCGCGAGCGCCGTTTGGGAGTTGTAACGGAGCCGGCCCCATTCGAGCAACGCGAACGGGTTTTGGACGAGTGATGAGCCAGTCATTGTACGGATAGTCGTGCAAACGCGCCCCTTGACCCAGTGCCGCGTTCCCGCTGCGCCCCCACATTCAATGCTCCCGCTCCGTCTCGCGTGGGGAGAGCTCCATATTTCGCAGCTCGATAAACGGCCAGGAGAGTTCAAGAGACACACGCATGTCCCACCATCTTTATTTTTGTGCTCTGTATATCTGTGCAGCAAATCTCGATTGTGCACGTCTTGTTTTTTGCAACGACGAATCAAGAAACCGGCCCTGCGGTCTCGATATCGGCCACCTGCTGATCACCCGCCCGGGTCCGCCTGTTTCAGCATCCCATCTTGGTGCATCTTGGGGCATTCTAGGGTGGTCCGCTGCTTCATGCGACTGAGGTCCGGCTCTGGTAAGGCCAAGCCCACCCCGCAACTCCGGGGTGTCCTTCATTATGATATGAGAAGGGTGCCCAAGAAGATCGGGCGACCCTTCTCATCTCGTATCTTCCAAAGCTGGGACTGAGGGACCTTATCCAGATACTAACGCAATGCTATCCAGTCTGATCTTCAGCGGCAGCCCTATGGCTTCTAACTCCGATCCGGCGCAGAGCCCAAATTCCCAAAGACCGGTACGTTCCTTTCGGGTAGAACGCACCACCTCTCCTGAGCCAACGACTCGGATTAAGAGAGCCAGTACCTTTGAGAATGGAGCCCAACCTGCCAGGCTGTCCCTCCGAACGGCATCTGGGACACAGGTGACACAGGGGGGCGGGGATGAGGCGCCAGACACCTTCGTCAGTAGAATCAGCGAGGAAGCGATCGAGCCACCGAGGGCTTCTGTCGACTTTGACGATCTTCCCATTGAACTCATCAGCTTGACGGACCGCTTCATCGATTCTTTATCGGCCAAGGTGCATCCTACCCCACCCAACATTGACAACCTCGCCTATATGTTTCAAGAATTCTATGGTACGGCCTCGTCACATATCCAGACTCACATCGATGCTTTGGCCAGCCGGCAGAGGCGCGAAGATGCCCCCCCTCTCTCGACTCGTGCATCGGCAGCCAGCCTGTTGCGCGCAAAGGCCACTTCACTTGGCACCAAGGACAAAACTCCCCTTAGGCGGGATTCGGACCAGCAATTATTGACGCCTGAGGAATACGCAAACCGAAAAAAGGCGAGGCGGGCGCTGGAGCAGAAGAAGTCGCTTCTGGAGGAAGCTGTGGAAAGGCGGTTATGTGAGGGCATTTACAGCAAGATCTACCGCCACCGCAGCACTCAGGACGAAGCGCAGGACGCTAAGCTCCGGTCGAAAACGGCCGCCCTCTCTGTCGTTGGCATTGGCCCGGTGGACCTCGGGGTCGAACTCGGTACAGCAGACAATGACCTGGAGGCGGCCGCCAAGAAGCAAGAGGAGGTCAGGGAATGGCTGGAGCAGGCGAGGAACCATCTGGCGTTGATGAGCCAGTCAAGGTATCCCTTGGGGAAGCTGAACCACCTCAAATCGGCCCACAAGAGTATCATCGACACGCTATCTCACTTCCACCCCTCCTCGTCAGCCGACGAGCTGATGCCCATGTTAATCTATACCCTCATCACCCTTACCCCTGAAAACCTCAGCGTCATCAGCGACGTCAACTTTATCCAGCGCTTCCGTTGGGAGCCAAAACTCACAGGCGAAGCAGCCTACTGTCTCACCACCCTCGAAGCTGCCGTCTCCTTTCTCGAGACAGTCGATCTCTCTACCCTCCGGGCCGACGAAACCCCAACTGGCCCGCTCAAAAACCCCGGCTCATCACCCCTACCAAAGGGGGACACCTTCCCACCAGCCTTCTCGCCCACCTCGCCCGCCCCACCAGCCCAGAGCCCCAACCCTTCCTCCGAATCCGCCTCAGCCAGCCTCAGCGCTGCCCTAAAACAGCAATCCCAAGCCCCATCCCCATCTCAAAGCCCGGCCGGGTTCCGCGCGACGGTCAACGCGCAGCTCCGCGCCCGCCGCCTGAGCGATCTCGTCCGCAACACGCCCACCCCCGCACAGGCCCTCAACGCGGCCTCGGACGCAGTCCTCACCACCGCCGATCAGAGCCTCAAGACCATCGGCAGCTCCCTCGACAACAGCTACAAGTTTCTCCTCGGCAAGCTCCGCGAGCGGGCGCCCGACGCCGTCCTCACCAAGGCCGACGGCGGCGAAGTCATCGTTCCCAAAACCCTCGACGACGCGCGCAAGCTCATTGGCACACCGCCCCTCCCCAACCCCGACGACGACCTCGCCCCCACCCCCGAACTCTCCCTACGCAGCCCAAGCCCGGAACAGGAACCCGAGCGGCCCCCACTACTGAGCTTCATCTCCGGCACGGGGCGCAAGGTCTCGCGCGACCACAGCGCCGACTCGTCCCGCAGCGCCGGCTCGTCCTCACGGCGCGGCCTCGGCGTCGAGGACCCCCATCATCAGCAACAGCGCCGCGCGGAGCCCGGCGCGCCCTCGTCCACCACCCAGGTCACTGCCACGGGCAGCAGCCCCGTCGTCACCAGCCCGCCCATCATCGACTCCATGCGCAACCTGAGTAACTCGTTCAACCCCATGGCTAGGCTGTCCGCGGGCATTGGCGGGCTGAGGGGGTTTGGTCGCTCGTCGGCGGCGTCCACGGCTGGGCCGGCGGGGGCGGGGAGGGCTCCGACGCCGCCGGCGAAGGATGCGGGTGGGGGTAGGGCGGGTGCGGGTGCGGTTGTTGGGGCCGGAGAGGAGGAGATTTGGCCTACGTATGTTGTCTTCTTTTTTCCCTTCGATATCTCGACCCTTTTCTGTCTTTCTCTCTCTTAGGCAATCCAACGCGGGTTGTTGATGGTAATTGGTTGTGTGGTATGAATGCTAACAAGTCTACCTTCCCCAGGCCTTCCCGGACCTTGCCGCCGTGCTCCCGCCGAGGGAACCCCCAAAGATCACCCCGCCCCATAAGCGCTTCATGGAGCTGCAGAACGCAGCAGATCTCAAGCTCGGCGAGGTGTTTGATTTGTTGAAAGACTACAAGCGTCTGGCCGGGGCGCTGAAGGAGATGGGTGCTTTTAAGGAGTAACGAACGGGGTGTGTCCTCTCTTTTTATATGATAAATTTTCTGCCATGATGACCAGTTGGGGTTTGTCTTGCCATTTTCATGTTGGTGGTGTGGGAGGGATAGATGGGTAGGAGCATGTACTGGCTGGCTGGATCATGAGCCCTAGGTATGGATGGTGGGCGAAGCGATGTGTCTGTTAGAGATGAATTGGTTGGGTGGGTTGGATAGACAAGCGAAAATCATTCACTGTTTTAACTGCCAAACAAACCTTTTTTTTTTTTTTTTTTTTTTTTTTTTTTTTTTTTTTCACACATTTTCCATCGAGTGAACTGTTGCCTGTGATTCCTGTTCTTGTTCTTTTTCTAAGAGGCAGGTGCTGATATGGAGAGGGTTCGGGTTGAATATAGGGGAACTCATTAGGGTTGGGGTTGGGTTATACATGGATGAAATTCCTTGTTATAGTCCTATACGTTAGGTAGGATCACATCACTCGTCCCAAATGGCCGCCTCGTTTTATAATAGGCTGAGCACATGCCCATTGATATACCGCTTCTGCACGGCCAGTTATACGAGGACCACGGCCAAACCGGTAGTGGCTTAGTTGCATTGGCGGTGGTCCTCTGGCCCCTGGGCGACTGAGCCTGCTTCCAACTGCCCGGGCGGGAGGTTGTGGGTTCGAGTCGCCCGTGGGGCGCTAAATGTAAACCCGACGGGGTTTCGTAGCCGGCAGAGTCTCGGCGGGGACGGGGGCCGGTGAGCTTTTACCATTGTGGTTTGATGGTTGTGATCGTTTTTGCTGCTGTTTTGTTAACTCCACAAGAGAAACAAGTTCTTGTGTAGGAAGCAAAAAAAAAAAAAATGAATCATTGAGTCGAAACCAACTGGATTGTAGATTGATATATTTTTTACCTCTTTCTGCTCAAGTATAGCACGATGGCCATCGGTAGTAGCAAGGTTGAGTTGGTCAAGTCTGATCTGATCTGTATCCCCAAAAACCATGCCCGCTATGCTTAACACGACTATTAAAGAAAGAATATGACGAAAAGAGATGTGAAGCGAATCTACTTCCGCTCCCAGAGCGACATATCACCAAAGCAACGCATGGCTCCCATCAATCAGTGCCCGTTCATCGACCTGCTAGACGGGCTCGTTCTCCCAGTCTCGGCGTCCCCGATCATCTTGTCCATAAACGCGATGTAATCGAACTGCGGCTGCCCCCGGTCGGACTGCATGTCGGGCCCGCTATGACCCGGCATGATCTCGACCAGCTTCTCGATCACGTCGTCCGGAACCAGCGAGTGGCGCAGGTCCATCTCGGTGACGTACGGCTTCCCGTCAGCAACCTCCCTGAAGCTCTGGAACACCTGCTCGGCCGTGTTCTGGTCCTCGGTCACGTCGACCATGAAGCGGATGAACTGCTCGAAGGTGACGCGGTCGAGCCCGCCCGACGTGTCGAGGAAGTAGTCGTGCATCTCGTCCTCGGAGAAGATCAGCCCCAGCGAGGCGAGCGCGGCGCTGAATTCGAGTTCCGAGAGGCAGTTTGTATCGTCGCGGTCGAAGTGGCGGAAGACGGACTCAAACTCTTCGAGCTGGATGGGGGTTAGGTTGGTCATGTTGCGGGCAACCATCTGGTTCTCAAGGAAGGCGAGCTTCTTGGAGACGGAGGACTTGACGAGAGAGAGCTCGTAGCAGAGCTCGTCGTAAGTGTAGGTGGTGAAGTCGTTCTCTTCGATGTTGGCTTCTTGGCACTTCGCATCGACCGCCGCGATAGTCTTGAGGAAGGCGTCAAGTGGAGGGAGGTTTTCCGAGAGCTTCCGCACGTGGTGTAGTTGGTCTTCCACGTCGCCTTCTAGGCCAGAGATGGCGAGTTGGATGGTGTTAAGCGCCAAGGCAAAGTCGTTGGCCTTGTCGGCGAAAGACTTCCTTAAGGCGTTTTTAATGCTGGGTCATGTTAGTGAGCTTTCCGCGACGAAAGGCTTGGAAATACATACTCTCTGATGGTTTCGTTGATCAGCTGCCCCCGGGCCATCTCTGCCTTGGTCAGGTTCGCCCATTCCTGGTCCAACACCTCCAACCTCAGCTCTGCCGGCGGGTCATATGGCCGCAGTCGGTATGTGCCTAGCTTAGTCTTGATGTTGCCCAACAAGGTCGCTAGCTCGCTCTTCTCTGCTACCCACTCCCGCTTCAACCCCCTCTTGTAGGCCGCAAAATCAGCAGCTTGCGCTTTGGCGTCGGTATAAGTCCCTTCGAATTTCGCCAGCTGCCAACTCTCCATCTGCTCACGTATGACCTTCAGTAACTCCCTCATCCGCCGCTCGTAGGCACTCTGCATATCCCAAGCGCCCCGCATATTATTCACAAACTTCTCGACACGGCGGCCGGCGTTCTCAACTTTCTCCATCTGGGAGAAGGCGTGGAACCAGTATGCGATGTAGGTCATCAGACTGCGCTCATCGGGCTTCGCCACGTCACACACATCCTCCACGTCGAGCAGCTTGGGGATACCGATCTCCTTATGCGCAATATCGAAGGCCATCTGCATGTTTCCTCTGTGGTCTGACTTATCGAGTGCATCGTAGTCGATAAGATCCGGTCGGTGGATGTCGAGTAAAGCGCAGAATGCGAGCCCGTCGTTCCAACTAGCGCTGAAGTCGCGCACATCCACCTCGTCGTAGCAGGCCGTCTTGCGCTGACACCATAGCAACAAGCCTTCCTTTGCCGTCATGCCCTCCTCATTGATGTCGTTGATGGTAAAGCGCAAAATGAGGGTCCATATCAAACCCAGGATAATTTTGCGGTTTCCATCTACTACGTCCTCGGCACCGATATTCGTCATTTGGATCCCGCGAGACTTGATAAAGTCAAGGGCTCTATTTGCGTTCTCGAAGCGCTGCACGCGCAGCTTGGGTTTGGCGGCATATCGGCCGAGCGACTCGCTAGAGAGACATTCGAGTAGATGGATGAGCATGACCTAGGCAAGGGGAATAAACGAGCATCAGCAAAAACAGTTCTTCGTGATCAGTCAGCACCTGGGGAGAACATACTCCATCAGACAGGTCCTGTACCAGGTCCTTGACCTCGAGACCACGCGCTTCCACCTTAGTGTTCAACCATTTCGTAAATGTTTTTTGCTGGACCGTGATCCAGCGTTGCTGCTCGGCGAAGGCCATTTTGTTGACGAGCGCCGACTGAGCGGGGATTTCTATCCAGATTTGTACTTTAGTTTCGGAGGGAGCCTGGCAAAGCTGCTGTCTCCATCTGCTTTTGTAAGAGTTTTTGAGGCGATAGTTTCGGAGGGTTGCTGTTGCTGTTGCTGTTGTTGCTATTGTCACGTCTTGTGACCTCCGAGATCTCGGTGATCTCTCCCTCTTCGCTTGCATCTTGGAGGCGACCCTGGTTGGCGGCTGGACCCAGCCCCGCCAATAATGCACTGTGTCAATAGCCACGTCGGCACCTGCAGCCGAGAGGGACCGATCGATACCCAGGGGAGCCAGGTTTTAGTTTAATTGGACGGCAGCTCGTTGGGCTTGTTCTCCTGGACTTGACAATCTTCGAATAAGACAGGAGCTGCAAGGCGACAACAAAGGTGATTGATGGATTGATTGGGTTTCCGAAAATGTCAGGAACATGACTCGTTAATTTGCGGGCAAGTGATGCCCAAACCCAAGGGATCCTACTTTTATAGCTGCCACCACAACCAGCTGTGTCTGCTCTTTTCGTCTCGAGTTTCAGCAGCTCTAGCCTGTAGATCAACCAGGCTTCACAGGCGACACATTCTCATGCCGTCTTCCTCCGGCTGGGTATTTCCCCAGCCATTCCTGTACCGCATTCCTCGCCGATGGTTTGACCAATTAGCCTATACACTCGCTGGTGTCTACTTCCCTGTGTATACCTCCCTGGATTTCTTTCTGTTTCTGCCATGGAATTCGGCCGAGATCTCTGTGTCAGTGTTGGAATATTGACTGAAATGTCAGGTGGTTCGGTGACACCCGTCTGCTCGCCGTGTAGTTCTTTAGACCACGGGCAGGCCACCACCCCATTCATGGGCCATGTGGTCCCGTGAGTTCCATTCATCCCCTTGACAATGTTATTCGGGGTTGTCCACCCGATGGTTCATGGTGGTTGGCAAACCAAAAGCAACGCATCTCGTAAACCAGGCTCTGATTTGTCTTGGGTTGCAATTTCCTGTCTCCATCGATAGACTAGGTAGTCAACGTCGCGATGCATTCCTTTGCCAGGAGGTTTTCCCATGGATTAATTACCCTCCAGACATCTTTTTCTCAACATTTGTTGGTTACACTAGGCACATACACTCTTCTGACCCCGAACCACATCCAACCATTTCCCCAAAGTTGCAGAACAGAAACAATGCAAAATCAAGTGCAACTCAGCATAGTAGTTAGATGTGCAAGGAGGCTCTACCTCGAGGGATACCTGGTGGTTAACCTACCAAGCATCCTGCATGTTCGAGTGCAAAAAGAGACTGCGCTAGCCAGGCACGCCAGGTACCAGGGCGCGGGCGGCCGGTGCAAGCTTCCGGACCGCCAAGCTGACCGGAGGCATTGACCAATAAGAAACCACCATCTCTCCAAGTTTGGCTCTTCCATCTCGGGCGGTGAAAATCATGCCCCGCTCGTTCCGCATACCCCGCGATTCTGCCGGCCTGGCCACCTCCCAGGCTCCACACCTCTCAATGAGCAACGACTTTTTTCCTGCAACCTCTGGTTCACACCACTCAAGGCTTCCGAAACTCCTGCAGCTTGTCGCCTCGCAACCCCGTTCGGCATTGCTCAACTTGAGATAGGTATCAAAGGTAAGGTGGCTTGGCTTTTTCTTTTCCTTTAGACTCTTTCTAGCCAATCAAACTGTCTTTGCAGCGCGATTACTTGCTTCCAAGTTTATTGTTTCATCTCAAGCTGCAACTTCGAAGTTTCTCTTTCCCTGCCACTACCCCAAAACAAGCTCCCGATTTACCTGCCGATTTACCTTCCGCACGTTTTTTACTTCCTCTCACCATTAAAACTCCCACTTCCTTTTCTACATTCCACCCACTCTTCCTCTTCTTCCTCCCCTATCACCTTTTCAATTCTGACCACCGACTTGTTCCTCCAGACTACCACCGACATAACAATCGCCATCACAGTCGGTTGATACTGGACAACGTTATCATCGCTCAACAGCGACCCACGGGCTTCTTTGAGACATCCTCCCGCTCAAGACAACATGTCTCAACGCCCGAACACACACGTGCCTGCCGTGCGTGCTGAGACCGAGAAGAGTCTCGGTATCACTCAGCGCTCGGCCGCAATTAACTTTGCCTGGACTGGCGATATCCGCAAGCGGTAAGTTGATTTTGTTTTCATTACCATTTTACAATTTATGATACGACTGCGACCTGAACTTCAGAGGTCAGATCGCGGTCCTATCGATTGCGTTCCAGCCATACCTGTCGGGTCTGGTCCTGTGTTTTGAACCTGCAGCTGACACTCGATTAGTTACACCGACTTTCTTGTCAATGAGATTCGGAAGGATGGCACTGTCCTCCATCTCCGTGATTTCATAGAGAATGATACTCCTCCTCCGGTCTGTATTGTTTTCAATGTCAATGTCAATAAAATTACTCTAACATCTGTTCCAGGCCATTGTTGACAACAAGGCCCCTGCTGCCAACCCCAATAAGCCAGACAACAAGTCGGACAACAAAGACAACAAGCCGAAGGTCCACCCTGTTTCCGATGATGACCGAAAGGCTTTGGCCGAATTGATCGGCGAAGCTACTGCCCAGAAGCTGGTTGAGCTTGATGAGAGCATCCAAGCCAAGAAGCTGCTGTCACCCGAGGATCGCTCCATCGCGTTTGACGCTGTCACTGATAGGGCCAAGCGGGGCACTATCCATCAGGTTTGTCTCCGTCCTGTTCCTTCTCGAAACTTGAGTTGCTAACCATGGACAGGAAATCCGCCGCATCTTCCGTTCTCGCTATGAAACGGTTGCTGATGCGGCGGGCGTCATCACTGCGACCGCATCAAAGTGGGCTCTCAATACCCGGGCTCCTAGCCAAAACTGGAACTCTCGGCGTGACAACAACAACAACGCCAATCGTCGCGATCAAGCCCGGGAGTTCGCCGAGGTTGGCGGCGAGTACCTTCACCTCACTCTCTACAAGGAAAACAAGGACACCATGGACGCAGTCAACACCATCGCTCGCCTCCTCAAGATCAAGGCCTCCAACTTTGGCTTTGCTGGCACCAAGGACCGCCGTGCCGGCACGGTTCAACGCATCAGCGTTTATCGGCAGAAGGCATCCAACCTCATCTGGTTGAACACGCGCATTCCCAACGTGAAGGTTGGAGATTTCACGTATTCCAATGAACCGCTGCAACTCGGTCAGCACGGAGGCAATGAGTTCGTCATCACCCTCAAGAGCTGCCATCCTCTTGGTGGTGATAATTGCTCTCTCCCTCATCGCATGAAGATGATCCAGCAGGCTGTGGAGTGTGGCCTCGCCCACCTCAAGCACAACGGTTACATCAACTACTACGGCCTGCAGCGCTTCGGGACGTACACCATCGGCACCCATATGCTCGGAATGAAGATCCTGAAGGGCGATTATGAGGGCTTCATTGACGACATTCTGCATGTCGATGAAAACGTCCTCAAGGACGTCTTGGGCGGTAATTCTCCCACCCATGGATCTGCGAAGGAGCAGCAAAATAGCCGGGACGACCAAAACCGTGCCCGTGCCATTACTGCATGGAAGACGACCAAGAAGGCCGAGAAGGCCCTCGAGTTTCTCCCCAAGCGCTTTAGCTCCGAGACCGCCATCATTCGTCATCTGGGTAGGAACCCGAAGGACTTTACTGGAGCCGTTCTGAGCATTACCCGTGGCATGCGCATGATGTACGTCCACGCCTACCAGTCGTATGTCTGGAATTTTGTCGCCACTCGCCGATGGTCCAAGTATGGTGCCAAGGTCATTGAGGGCGACCTCGTCTTGGTCACCGGCAGCCGTCGCCGTGACCGCGCCGACGATGACGAGTTCAACCCGTACGACGACAACGATGATGACAACATCTACGCCCAAGCCCATGCCTTGACGGCTTCCGATGTCGCCAGTGGAAAATACACTATTTTCGACGTCGTTCTACCCACCCCTGGTTACGATGTCTCATACCCTCGCAATGAAATCGGGGAGTACTATGTCGAGTTCATGGGCAAGCCGGAGAATGGTTCCCTGAGCCCCTTTGAGATGCGCCGCAAACAGCGCGAGTTCAGCCTGAGCGGCAACTACCGCCCCCTCATCGGCCGTCTGATTGGCAACCCACAGTACGCCGTTCGAGCGTATCGCGATGATACTGAGCAGATGTACCCCACCGATTTCGACTATGCTCTTCACAAGAAGCAATTGGAGAAGCTAGCCAAAGCTGCGGCTACCACGACGAAGATTAAGCCCACGACCAAGCCCACAACCAAACCTGCGACCAAGCCCGTGACCCAGCCCGCTACCAAACCTGTTGCCGACCCTCTTGTCGACAACTGGACTCATTTCGCTCAGAATCCGGATGCCTACGACAACGCCATGGCTGCCGCACGCCGTCGTAAGGCCGATCAAGAGCCCCCTTCGAATGGAGTTGCCGTTACCAACGAGACCTGGGTCCAGACTGGGGTCGATGGTAGTGCAAAGCGTGTTAAGGTCGCGCGACATCACCAACAGATTGAGAACCAGACGCAGGGCGACGTGCCTCGTAGCAACGCTTCTCCCAAGGTTCCGCCCCTCCAACTCGACGATCCCAACGAGGATGGAACTCATACGCCTTTTCCAGTCGGCAACGGCGCGCCCTTGACCGACGACACACAGGATGCCTCTCCCCGTCGCATTCTCACGGACGGCCCGTTCCCCATGATTTCTGTGCCCAAGGGCGCGATTCCGACAACCGGAATTCGTGGGGTCTCGGACACTTACTATGCGGAAACCGGCAAAATCCCCTACTTTGGCCCACTTCCGGAGGGTATCAAAATGAATCCCAATGTCACCACCAACGCCACCGAGAACCAGGCAACCGGCGCCACTCCCAATGCTCCGACCACGGAAACCGGGCCCCTGACATCCGATGCGATGGACTGGTACGGCACGAACCTGCCCAAGGTCCCGACTGCTGTTACGGACGCCCGCGGTAGCGAGACCAATGTGGATGGTATGGCTCTCGTCAAGGCTGAAGAAGCCTCCACTCACACCGAACTCATTAACAACATCGCGGTACCCAAACTCCGCACCGCATCGGACAACCCGCTTTCGGCGATGGCCGCCGACATCGATGAGAGCAGTATTGACCCCGAAGCGAGCCGGATTGCTGTGATTCTGAAATTTCAGCTGAAGGCTAGCAACTATGCGACCGTCGTCCTCCGTGAGCTCATGGGCACGACCGTGGAGGAGCTCGCCCTCTAATCGCACCATGGCTGACGGCGTTGAAGTGTATCACCCAACGCCATCATGATAGCAGGACCAATTCTCGGCGTTCTCGCTGTCGTCTCGGTACAAGATACCATTGGCAGATCTGCGCTGGTTCTACTACTGCGTACATGGCCTCTTGTTGACCTACCTTGGTCTGGTTGAGCATATCGCAGCTCACGTTTGGTCGATCTATTTGTATCGCCAACGCCTTTCGGTCTCTACTTCTCATCATGAACATATTGTTCTGCATTTCCGGCGTTGCGGCCTCATTTTCCTGATTTCATTTTCGCGGAATCGCCTGAAGATTTGTCCTGGCCAAAGAGATGACTGTCGCTTTCACACCATTTTGGGAGCTTACCGACTTGTCAATCCCCTCCACGGATTCTACCACGGCACGGGCCTTGTGTGTGTGTGTGTGTGTGTGTGTGTGTCCCACAGACGGCGACTTGCGCCTGCTCATTTACAGAGCTAAGTCTGCGAAACACTCATGTCCGCTACACGACCCTGTCTCGGGCAACTACGCTTTTCTTTTCGTTTTCTTTTCGGCTTTGTGCTATCGACTTATTCGGCTCACACATATTGGGCTGCAAAATCGGGGGATTAAGATGTTCTATTCTGCTTTGCAATTCTCGCCTTGCGAGTGGGCTGCCATTTGGTTGGCGGCCTGCGTCTTTGCAAGCAAGGGAGAAAGATGGCATTTGCGTGACATGACATGGCATGTCGATAGGAAGGTCTGGCAATCAAAACATGGTCATTCTGGGGTTTTTCTTTCGGCGTTGGCATTTGGCAGGCACGGCGAATTGCTACTGGGAAGGAATTGACACGACCTGACGAAACATTGAGATACCCCTTTTGCAAGACGGTAGATGGGTTATGTACGATAACAATGATACTTGTCGGTGGGCAGAAATAAAATTGGTGATTTGATTGTGTCTTGACGGGGCCGTCGTGTCCATGTGCCTCGTTGCCCATTATCTCAAAATCGGGGTGAACTCTCATTATGAGATTGGCTGTGCGAGTAGCGAGCTGCGATCTGCTTGGGTAGAGGAGCGAAGGTAATCCGACCGAGCAACTGGAAGATGACGTCCCGACGATACACGAACGAGTAAGTAGCACATCAAGGTTACACACCGAGCCTTGCATTACTCGGGGGTTCTTCTGAAGCCCACGCTTGCTAGTTACCAGTAGATTAGGTCCTGCCTCGCTAGATAGATGTAACGTGGAAAGAGAAAAACAAAAGATCGCAACCAAATAACCCAAACCTAATCCAAGAAAAGGTATTATGCCATAATAACCAAACGAGAACGAACAAAAGGTCAAGATCAGTTCGGCTACACCCGCATCCACCGCGGGCCAGGAACCCGAACGGAACAAAACCAAGAACAGAACACACTTGACGTCCCTCCTCACCCACCCAACCAGCCCCATCCCCATCCGTTCACTCTGCTCATAAACCATGACCGATCTACAGTAGAAGACAGACCCCCCCCCCTACCCAACAAGCACTGCACTCCATACGGGCCCAACCCAAACCGCATGCGTATCGGTCCAGCTGAGTCACAGTCTTCAGCTTTAGCGTACAAATTGTATATAGCCCCGTTAGTATCCGAGCAATCACAGGTTTCCCCCTTTCCAACTATTCCAAGCAGAGTATGACTAGGCTTATTTGTGGTCAGATATTGTTGGTGTTGGTAAATCCCGATATGTATCTCAGGACGGCCGCGACGGCAGAGGCGATGTCAAGGTTGTTGGTATTGTTGTCGGGGTTAAGGAGTGATAGTCGAGGTTGGTGTGAGAAATAGCCAGGCCCCTCTTGCTCCACTCCCATGGTCGCTTGAGTAGAGAGGGGAGGCTGGAGTTGATGGAGACCGATGCAGCCGTCTCATATGGAGGTCGTGTCGCTCGTGTTGTCATTTATTCTTCTTTCTTCTTTGGCATCTCTCCATCATTCGTTAGGTAGACCCACGGGATGGTCGTCAGCTCAACATATGGGAACATCGCCCCACTCACGGGACCCGTGATTCTTTGTTGTTGTTGTGGTTGTTGTCTTTGCTGTCATAGCTGGTATGCTGTTGACCCATGCTGTGCCCGGACCCCATCCCCAAAGCCCTCCGCTCTGCCTTGTGCAGCCTCGCCGTTCGGGCCGTGCCCGGGTTGAGCCTGGACTTTCCCAAGTCTCTATGCCTTTTGTTGGTCCTTATCATCCCAGCCCCATACTTGGGCCAGGTAACGGCGCATGTTGACGCGCTTAGTGGTCATTTCTATCATCCAGGGGTGCTCCAGCATACGCCATGGACTCGCGCGGCGTGCCGGTTCCTTTTCAAGGCTAGTGTAACACAGTTAGTTCATGTAAGCAGTAGAAGGTAGATGGAGAGAGCGTACCAGCACTCGATGAAATACTTGAAGCTGCCACTCCAGTAAATGTTGGCTTCGGGCTCGTCCTTTAGCTTGGGGGTAGGGTGCTTGACGATGTAAGTCAGGAGATCGAGGGGAGTGGCGCGGGGCTGCATCTCGGTGCCGTCGGCCGGGAAGGGGAAGCGATGTTGTGCAACCTCGAGCAAGGTGATGCCGGTTGACCAGACGTCGGAGGTGATGGTGTACGATTGCCCTGTGATGCGCTCCGGGGCCATGTAGTAACTGGTGCCGATAAATGTGCTGGCGTCACCCTTGGTGCCGAACTCGCCAGACACGCCAAAGTCGCAGAGCTTCACGTCGCCGTTGCGGCAGAGCAGAATGTTGCTTGGCTTGATGTCGCGATGGATGATCTTTTTGGAGTGCAGGTAGGTCAAACCGTGGAGCACGCCCTCGGCGACCTTTCCTAGAACTTTCTCGCCCGTGCGCCCGCCGAGATTCTTGACCTCCTTGTAGATGCTATCGAGTGATCCGCCTTCGCAAAACTCCATGGCGATGGAGATAGTGGAGCTCGCCGGGTCTACGAAGGCTCCGTAATAGCGACAGATATGTTGCGAGGCGCACCCCTTATTGAACCCTAGCTCACGGATGATTTGCCTCTTGGCATCGGGGTCAGGGTTTGTGGTTATAATCTATGTGATTGTTAGGATGATGTGTTGGGTCAGTAGAAAGGGGGGCCGCCATCGTACCTTGAGAGCAAAGACGGTGTCACCGCCCCTCAGTTTGCATTTTGTCACGGCACCTCCGGCACCCTCGCCCAGGTTCCCAAGCTCGATGATCCGCTTCTCCATGCTGACAATCCGCCAGCCCTCGTCGTCTAAATCATCTACGTCTGCTGCCCGGGCCTTCTCCAGGGTGAGCTCGTCGAAACTCTCCAGCCCATGCAGACTGCCCTCCCGGTCCATGTCCATGCTCTCACTGGCGTTGGAATATAGTGACCCGACAGCGGATACGGGGTCGCCTGTCTGCCTCCCTATCCCATATTGGCTCGCGAAGGAGAGAGCGCTGAACTGGGAACCGGCGCTTGTGGGGTTGCTGGCACGGCCGTCGAGAGGCCCAAAGCTCCCGCTTCTACTGTGAGCGGCGCTGCTTTCGCTGCCCCCGCTCGCACTTTGAAGGCTGAGACTGAGTTGGGGCTTAAGGGGTTTTTGTTCTGGTGGCACGACGCTGCTGCCCATGGGGGTCGCGAGGTGCAATGTAGGCGGGGCCGGGCGTGGGGGAGGGGCCCCTGGGTTTCCGAGGGCTTTGGCGTTGGGAGACGGAGGGATGGCGAGCCCGAGGCGCGGGGCACGGCCGCCGGGGCGAGAGCCCGGGATGGCGGGGCGGAGGAGTGGTGGTGCCGCCGACATTGTAGGAACTTGTGAGGGAGTGTGGTGTTGTTGCGGGATTCCGAGGGGAGGATAGGAGGGCTTCATTGTGTTCGTTAGCGGCAAGTTCAAGTTGACTTCTCGAGACCAGATTTTAAATGTATTGCTCGCCCCCACCCGGACGGACGTCTCTTGTCAAGAAATACACTTTTTCTTGGGCGGTAATGGCGGGGAGCTTCGAGGGAGAAAGAACTAGCTGGCGGGGAATGCGAGTTGTTTCGGAGACACAAGCACCCAATATCAGAGTAAAAAAAAAAAAAAAAAGAAAACGGCGACTTGACGAGCGGATAGAAGGACTGGTGGAAGAGAGAAAAAGACTCGTACCATGGCTGCAGCGCCGTCGCTGCTCTGATTCTGGGAGCCGGACATTATTGGGCACGGGCGGTGGGTGGTGGGCTGCGGGCCTTCGCTGTCGACTGGAGACTGGCGACTGGCGACTGGTGACTGGTAGTAGTGTTTTGCAGACAAACAGGGCGAGATGCAGAGGCTAGTTATCCCGACCAAGGCCGGCTAGGATAATAGGGCCGAAGGGATCGGTCGAGCGACAAAAGCTGACAAGCCCGCGATGGGCTGTCGAATGGATGCAAGGAAGCACCAAAGCCAAGGCAAGTTGGAGTGATGGGCGCAACACGACAGCAACGCAGTGCGCAAACAGACGCAGGCAACGCTGGATCGAGCAGCTGGGGGAGTTTCTGCACTTCGGGCTCTGGGCTCGTTCTGGGTCTCGTCTCGGCTGGCTGCGGCGGTGGTGTATGTGGATTGGATCAGCGGCTCCTTTCCATCTGACTGTGGGAAGTCGGGGAAGAATGGGGACGCAAATGACGCAGATTCGTCTGTTGTCCAGTAGCGATGCGGCGTGGTGTTTGGGTTGCTCGGAGGTGGCTGGCCGCGGTGTTGAAGGAGTCGATTATTCGCCTCTTGAACTCGGATGAGTTGTCTGCCGTTGGGAGCGTTAGGTCGGTAGTGGTCGGGTGCGGGAGACGGTGCTTTGAATCAAGCACAAATGGATCGATGGAACAGCCCCTCGATGGGCTAGGCGCCCTGATACCCTGCCCAGGGGCTCCCTGGCTCCACAGTTCAGTGATTGCTCAAGGCCGGCCAATGCCGCGGTCGGATAGGTTCAGGGGTCCTTGGCCCTGGAAAGGCGGGGTGTCGAGTGACAAACTGGGGACTTGAGGGAGTGGTGGAGTGGTCTGGTTCGCTAGCACCAAAACTGGCAGGCTCAACTGGAAGCCAGAAATTGTTTGCCGTGAATCTCACGCGCGACTGGATGTGTTGAAAGAACGATCCAGCGAGTGAAATGCAGTATTCGGAGACTTCAGCACTTTCAGGCAGGAGCGGATGAAAAAGCCGCGGAGATCTACACAGTACGAGTCTTGAGTTGCAGCAAGAGCAAAACAGGAAAAGCCAAACAAACAACCAACACCGAGGAAAAGTACCTCTGGAGCTACCTATGGATGGACCCGGAAGGCAAATCAAAAGCAGCGCAGACGGCTGATGAGCAGAGACGCAGAGTGATGAAAAGATCGAAGCCTCTGTGAATTCTAATGGGCTACAGGGGAGAGTAGCCGCCACGGATTAACGCATGCCGGACGCCACTCCATCCTCCTCCCGCCCTGGCATTCGCTGTGCATGGAACCGGATGCGCTGCTCCCCGCATCGTTGCATCGCTGCATTGTGTGAGTCGAGTCCGACGAGGTCAATCCTGCGCCATGTGGCAAGTGCAGTAATGAAGCACCCGGCAGGACCTGTCGTACAGATTACCACTACAGGTATAGACTTTGCTGGGAATGGGGATATTAAGTCCTAGGTACCTAGGTAGTTACTGGTGTATTGATAACTACACTGCACTGACGAGACCCCTCTGCCGACTACCGTGCCGGGCTGACGTGAGGACTCTCAGGGACTGTCCTTGCCGAAAGGGCCGCATCTCGATAATTATCTGTGCGACCCGCTGAGGTCACTGATGTGCTCGGGTATCCCGATGGTGGTCAGCCGATATCTTGCTTCTGGCTCCAGGATTCGGCACTGTGCCATCCCGGTGCAAGTAGCCTTAGAGTCCTTCAGGGGCAGCTCGGCATGCAGGTGGTCGGCCATAGAAGCTGGAACCTAGTGAGCTCTCCCCAGCAAATGCACTCAAGATGCATCAACTCCTCGACCACAGCTGGGACACCTCGAGTTGATTGGCCTCGGTCAAAGCGCGTTTGCTCTGAAAGACATGGCTAGGGGGGTCTCATCCTTTTTACACCGTGCCTAGACGGTCCAGACTGTGCCTGACGCAAGTTGTCGCTCCAAGCGCCCAGGGCGGGCGCCTCTTGATGGTCAACCGTGTTAAGCGCCGTGATCAGCATCTTCGTTGGCTGAAGGCAAGCTCGCAAGGAAGGCAAAAGGGGTGGCTCGTTTGATGTTAAAGTGGGACTCTCGGCTACCCGAACCCGGCTTCGAGTCCGGATCCACCCTCCCACCATTCTTCCCTGCCAAGGGAGACCCCACTTCCTTTTTTCAAACCCCTGTCTGAAATTTTCGGTTCTCGAAAACAACAACAGCGTCAAGCTCTCACTGGCATTTGAGAGGCTGCCGGAAAATTGCATCTGCAAGGTGACTGAATTGTCAAATTAGCCATGCCATCCGTGTCTGTGAAAGGTCGGCGCAAGGAGGCGGTGGTGAAACGAGTCGAGGAGATCGACGGGGATTCGGATTCGGGCGCGAGTTCAGCATCAGAAGAAGCATCAGACGCATCAGAGGATGAAAATGATAGCAACGATGCCAGCGATGCCAGCGATGCCAATGACGAGAGCGCTGCCGAAGATTCAGACTCCCTAGACAGTGCCAGCCCCAGGAAACGACGCCGCACCTCTCCTCCGGCTAGCGATGATGAGAAACCCAACATTATCAAGTCGGCCTTTAATGTGCCCTCCCGCATAAAGCGGAAACCTCAAGTCAAAACCAACCTTGAAGTCACGCCTCAGCCAAGAGAACCCGAGCCAGCGCCCCGGGTCACGGCCCCCTTGGATGCCAATACCACTTTCGAGTCGCTTGGTCTCCGGCCATGGCTAGTGCAGTCGCTGGCTAACATGGCCATCAAGCGGGCCCACCGCCATTCAGCGAGAGAGCATTCCCGATGGCTTCTCAAGGGAAGGGATTGGCATCGGTGGGAGCAGGACAGGTTCAGGTAAGACGGTGGCTTTCTCTGTACCCATTTTCCAAAAATGGGCCGAGAACCCGTCTGCCATCTTTGCCGTTATCCTGACACCAACTCGGTGAGTACCACATCCTCTCTACCAGCGTAGCGTAACGGGACTATGCCGACTAACAACCCCTCTCCCTAGTGAGCTTGCTCTCCAGATCTACGAGCAAGTCAAAGCCATCTCGTCGCCACACTCGCTCAAAGCGATCCTGGTCACGGGCGGGTCCGACATGCGGTCGCAGGCCATCGCCCTAGCCCAGCGGCCGCACGTCGTCATCGCCACCCCCGGCCGCCTAGCCGACCACATCCGCACCTCGGGCGAGGACACGATCTGCGGGCTGCGGCGCGTACGCTTCGTGGTGCTCGACGAAGCCGACCGGCTGCTCGCCGCCAACGGGCCGGGCAGCATGCTCCCGGACGTCGAAGAATGCCTCGGCGCGCTCCCGCCGCCCGCCGAGCGCCAAACCCTTCCTCTTCACCGCCCACCATCACCCCAGAAGTCATGGCCCTCAAGAACATGCCACGACAATCCCGGCCGCGAACCCGTCTTCGTCTGCGAAGTCGACACCGACGCCCTGGCAATCCCGCCCACCCTCAAACAGATGCACCTCCAAGTCCCCCGTCACCCACCGCGAGCACTACCTGCACATGTTCCTGCTCACCCCGGCCAACGCAGAAAAATCCGCCATCATCTTCTGCAACCGCACCTCCACCGCCGACTACCTGCACCACCTCCTCCGCCTGCTCGACCACCGCGTCACGGCACTGCACTCACGGCTACCACAGCGGCAGCGCATCGACAACCTGGGCCGGTTCCGGGCGTCGGCGGCGCGCATCCTCGTGGCGACCGACGTCGCGGCGCGCGGGCTGGACATCCCCGAGGTGAAGCTGGTGATCAACTACGACATCCCGCGGGATCCGGACGACTACATCCACCGGGTGGGCCGTACGGCGCGGGCGGGGCGTAAGGGAGATGCGGTGACGTTCGTGGGGCAGCGGGATGTGGAGCTGGTGCTGGCGATCGAGCAGCGCGTGGGCAGGCAGATGGAGGCGTGGGAGGAGGCGGGGGTGAATTTGGAGACGAGGGTGGTGAGGGATGCGTTGAAGTTGGTGGGGGAGAAGAAGCGCGAGGCGTTGTTGGAGGTGGAGGAGCATAGGGAGGTGGGCGGGAAGAGGAAGAGGGGGAAGCAGAAGTTGAGGTTGGAGTAGCCGGGTGGACTCCGATGGATGGACTATTGTAACGCCTATCTGCTAATAGAGATGCCACCACGATACCTCGATAATTATCATGGCTTCTGGAAACCGAACCAACCACGGTGTTTAATGCCCAACCTACTACTCATACGAACCTCAACACCCTCACCGCATTCCCACCCATCACCATCGCCGCCTCCTCACTCCCCTCCCCCAGCGCTTTATTCACAGCCTGCACATTCAACCGTACACTCCCCCACTCCCCCTCCTCCGCCTCACCCGCCTTCTCCCCCACCGGCGGAAAAAACGGATGATCCGTCCCAAACATCAACCGATCCGCCCCCCCCGCAGCCTCCACCGCCGCCTTCAACCCGACCTCACTATAAATGACCGCATCCAGATAAACCTGCTCCCTCAACACCTCCCACACCGTCCTCCGCCTCCCCTCCAACCCGCCCTTCCCCTTCCCCACCAACGCCGCATCATGCATCACACAACTCTCAATCCGCCCCGCCAAAAACGGCAACGTGCCCCCCGCATGCGCCAGCACCATCCGCAACCCCCTCACCGCGTCAAACACCCCGGCCAGAAACATCCTCGCCACCGCAATGGTCGTCTCCATCGGGAACCCCAGCGCCAGCGGCAGCACGTGGCCGTAGGCGCCGTCGCCGAAGACGGACGGCGGGAGCCCGTAGTGCGGGTGCAGGAAGACGGGCAGCGAGGCGGCGGCCAGCGCGCGGAAGACGGGGAGCAGGGCCGGGTCGTCGAGTCCCTGGTGGGTGGCGAGCCCGCCGGTGCCGAGGATGATGCCGCGGCAGTGGGGGAGGGTGGTGAGGTGGGTGATGGAGGCGAGGATGGTGGCGGGTGGGGCGGTGAGCGGGAGGGTGCCGAAGAAGAAGAGTTTTGGGGTGGGGTAGGGGAGTGTGTGTGGTGGTGTGTGTGGTGGTGCTGCACATGGTTTCGAAGGAGTTGTTGATTTGCTCGGCGGTGGCGCCGGCGGTGTCGGCGGGGAGGAAGTCTAGCCAGGGATTGGCGAGGGAGAGCACGGAGGTGGTGATGTTGTGGTGGGACATGAAGGCTAGTTTGGCGGGGAGGGAGGTGAAGTGCTTGGTGAGGGGCCGGCCGGGGAGCGGGGCGGACGGGTCGGCGAGGGCGCGCTCGAGCGAGGGAATCTCGGATTCGAGGAGGATGAGGCGCGGGTCGGGGGAGGAGGGGAAAGTGCGGACGAGGGGAATGGTGTCCCGCGATGAGAGGATGGAGATGTACTCCGGGGGGTACATGTGGGTGTGGATGTCGACGACGGGAGCCATTTTGATGGTGGTCTGGTATTTACTAGATATTCAGTTGTTGTTTTTGTTGAGCTTAAATTGTATGTAGAGGTGGAAAGAGGTGTAGAAGAACCTAGGTACCTAACTGGTAAGTGCCTTAGGTTTCGAAATCAGGAAAGGACCTGACTGCCCACTCCCACAACCGACCTGCACATGCCCGATGAGACGAACCGGGATCCATCAACAACCTCACTCCGATGCCAAGCCGGCACTCACCCCGCACTCCACCTTCCGCAGCGTCTCTCAACCCCACTTGGTGAGCTGTGAGGTCGATCATTGCAAGGGTGTTATCGGTCTAAGAGCAGGGGTTGCGGCCTAACGATAACATGATAGCTGCCAGAGGACCTGCCTGCTGCAGGTCAAGTCCGAGTTCATCACAGAAAGGCATACCGCGCTACCCAGATTAGCGAGTGATGTTGGGGCCAGAATAGTACAGCATGACCCCCTCGGTCTCACCTCTGTGTAAATACCAGTCCAAATAAATCAATGTAGTATGCTCTCTTGGAACGCAAACTCCTTTCTCAAATCACTTTTCTAAAGCTCACTCATCGAACACACTTCTCTTATCACTTTGAGTGCTAAACAACTGGCCACTTCAACATGGAGAAAGCAGCGGTGCAAGAAGACGGGCTCCTCATCCCGGTGAGTACTCGGAGCAACTTCGCTCCAACACACCAACACCAACCTAACACCACCGCTAGCTCATCGACTTCTCCAAATTCCTCAATGGCTCTCCCACCCAAAAGGTTGAAACGGCCAAAGCCATCCTAACCGGCTTCCAAACCGCCGGGTTCATCTACCTCTCCAACCTCCCCATCCCCTCCTCCACCATAACCGACGCCTTCCGCCGCTCCGCCCAGTTCTTCCGCCTCCCCGCTACCACCAAGGAGTCCCTCGCCTGGTCCACCCCCGAAGCCAACCGCGGCTACTCCTCCCCGGGCCGCGAAAAAGTCACCAACCTGACCACCACCGCCGACGTCTCCGCCCTGCGCACCTCCATCCCCGACATCAAAGAATCCCTCGAGATCGGCCGGGACGACGAGCCCGGCCACCCCAACCACTGGCCATCCGAAGAAGAAGCAGAAGCAGACAACGAACTCGCCGGCTTCAGACAAGCCATGACCTCCTTCTTCGCCGACCTCGCCGGCCTGCACCAGTCCGTGATGCGCGCCATCGCCGTCGGCATGAATCTCCCCTCCGAAACCCACTTCGACCGCTTCGTCGACGACCGCGACAACACCCTGCGCCTGCTGCACTACCCGGCCGTGCGGCGCGACGTGTTCGCCATCAACCCGGGCCAGGTGCGCGCCGGCGAGCACACGGATTACGGCTCCATCACCCTGCTGTTTCAGGATCAGAGGGGTGGTCTGCAGGTGCAGAGCCCGAGCGGTGCGTTTGTGGATGCCACGCCGATTGAGGGGACTTGCGTGGTGAACGCGGGGGATTTGTTGGCGAGGTGGAGTAATGATACCATTCGGAGTACGGTGCATCGGGTGGTGGAGCCGCCGAGGAGGGAGGGTGGTGAGGAGGAGGCGGGGGAGACGTACCCGGCGAGGTATAGCATTGCGTGAGTGGCTCCTAAAGAAGGGGGGGTAGGGGATAATGGGAGGTGTGCCGGCTGACTGATTTAGGTACTTCTGCAACCCCAACTTCAAGGACTTTATCGAGGCTATCCCGGGTACGTATACGACCGAGGCGGACAAGAAGTATGAAGGTATCTACAGCGGGGAGTACCTGGTCCAGAGGTTGAAGGCGACTTATGCATGAATATCGAAGGTTAAGGAGAAGTCTAGTTTAATTCTTTTTTTTTATCTTGCGATTGAATGAACCTTACCTATACACCTAGGAGTTTGCCATGCACACGTTGATCAGAATTCTAACTGTGCTGGCTCGAATGTTGAGAAATAGTTATAGCGGAAGGGCATTCGCACGTACAGACTATAGGTGGCTATGTATTAGATCCGTGTCGACCACGTACTTGGCGTTTCTGGAGGACCGAGTATTGCGGGATCCCAGAACCCTCAAGCTCCATGGGCGTAATACGGAAGGTCATTGTTTTGTCCGTGTCTCCAAGACAGCTCTCCTGGACGCTGTCTTGTTCGGTTTCTGTCTGCTGCGTGAACGGACACTACCTCCTCGTGCCACAAATCCACCTCAGCATTATGCCTGCCTCGCAACATTATCACAGTAAAACTTGCTGGCCCCCAGAGGTGGTAGAATAGTCCAACCTTGACAATCTCCTAGGGCAGGATATCGCTTTGGAAGGTAGACTTTCTCGTCATGTTCATATCCGCCCGCCTTCTCCGACGCCCAGCCGAGTTTCGGACAGTCCTCCACACCTCGCTCGCCCCAGCATCAGTCTCTGTCCATTTGACCCGACGGCTGTCTATTGTGTTAGACGTCTTAAGCTTCTTTTGCGCGACTACTTCGGTCGACCTAGGGGACCGACTGGGTTTCCAAAAGTTATTCCTGTCCTGAAACCAGTCGGTGATTTCGTCGCCCTTGTAGCCATAAGCAAGTGCAAGGGCCAGCACGACGACGGTGACGGGAACTGCGATAGTCCAGTAGAGAGACTGGCTGGCTTCGATGTCGCGGATGTCGACTGTGTTCATGCCAAAGAAGCCAGAGACGAAGGTCCTGCGGCGTTATCAGCTTTATCAAGATCGAATCCTGACTGCGGGAATCGCTGCTTCTCGACACATACATGGGCAAAAACAGCACTGTGACGATGGTGAAGACGCGGATGGCCTTGCCGTGGTCCTCGTCCATGACTTCGATCAGCTGGCGGACGCGCTCCCTCAGCGCCCCCGCCGACCTTTGCAGGTTCCGTACCTCACCCAACTTCGCTTGCACTGCGTCCCGCCGGCCGAGCAGGTAGTGCCGTTCCACTTCCATAGTTCGCGGCTCGCGGTATCGTCGTTTCCATGCTCCACGCTTGTATTCCACACCATGCCTACCGATAACGACCTCTACCTCGGAGAAGTCGTTAAGCGTCCTGCCAGTGTCATGACATTAGCGCGTGCCCCAACTGTCTAATACACACCCATAATCACGCAGACAATAAAAAGATGTTCGCTCACCGATTGATCCAATTCAGATTCGCGCCCAAGAGCGCCTCCAGCGCCTCCAGCTCATCCTCAAGCGCATGAATATCAAGAAACAAACGCCTCCGAGGCCGGCGAACAGCCTCCGCATGCAGACGCTTGCTATATTCGCTGTACATCCGGATCACGTCCCACGCCGAAGCACCTTTACCACCGTCCCGCCTCCCAAGCCCAGCAACACGCGCGCCACCCGTTCCCATTCCCGTTCCCGTCCCAGCGGCCTTTCTCAACGGCAGCGGTGCGGAGAAGGACTTATCCAGAACCGATAGGACGACGGCACGCACCAGCGAGGTCGTGTCAAACGCCTGCACGCCCAGCGCCGCTGTGTCGGCGCCGTCGCCGATGCTAATACCGCCGCCGTGCCCGCCCCGCGACAGGATAACGTCGCGCCGGGCCAGCTGCAGGTAGCTCCGCAGGCGGGCGTGGGCGCCGCGGCACCGGACGGCCAGTCGTTTCGTCCTGTGCAGGGCGGCCTGCGCGCTGTCCTGATCGGGGGCGTTGCTGCTGCTGCGTGTGTTGAGGGTGGTGTGCCGGTTGTGGAGCGAGAGGTGTTTGGCTTGGAGGATGTAGTATGACAGGAGCTCATCGAAAGCGTAAACGAGGCTTCGGGGGAGCTGGGGGCGAATCGTTGGCTTGGTTTGCGGCCGGTGCCGTTGGGCATTGTCCTGTGGGTTGGTGGCTACCAGCCATTGGATCTTATTGAGGCTGTGCGAGACGTCTGTGAGGTGGTCGATGAGCTCCTTTGCGATATTCTCGATTTCTGGTTCGTTTGAGTGGGTTTCCGCCTGCGACTTGATGTATACATAGCAGGGGTCGTCGTGCGGCCTGTCCTTCGCTTTGCCTGCGGCCGGTTGTCCAAGGGGGCACTCGAAGTGGGCGGCATGGAGATGCTGAAGTGCGGCTGATGCCGAAGGATATTTCGTGGGCGTCAAACAAGCTGTGCACTTGGCATATGGCTGCTTCCATGTCACCCCTCCGCTTCCACCTGCAGCGCTGGACATGGTGTCGAAATCTCGGATTGTCCACAATGCATCCGACGACTCGGTAGACCATCGGATTTGCTAGAAAACCCGTTAGGAAACGTCGGAGAATTCATGACCCTATCGCTGTCTTGGACTTTGTGCATGGGCCCCAGGCCTGGGAAAGCCGGCCGTTGAGTGCTTACCCGGATAATCTCATCTACGCTGCCCCAGAACCGCTCACACACAGGATGATATACCGAGTGCTCATCTTTGGGGAGGAACCGGTGCATGATCGCCTGAGAAATCTCCACTAGCTTCTTGCCGAATGCCTCTGCTGGGTGCGTCATCATGTCGGAGGTTGAGTGCCTTGCTGCTTCTTGTGCGCCGACCCGTGGCGTGGCTGGAGCTTGTTTCTCACCAATCTTAGAGGGCTCAGCCTTCTCTTGCCGAACCGTTTCCTGTTCCTGGTTTGTAGAACCCGCCCGCGCTCCGTCTGGTGGGAATGTAGTTGGTGGCTGCGTGGAGCTGTTATCTGTCGAACCCCCTTTCTTTTCCTGGTCGGCTTCTTTTCCTTGACCAACACTGTCCCGCTGCACCGTCGGAAATGTGTTCGAACTTGGAACTATTTCCCTTGCCAAATTGGGGTGGCGCTTTAGGAGATTCTCCTCGGTGCATTTGTATGCTTGTGAGTAGACTTCTTTGATCCCTGACTCGCTGGATAGGAGGGATTCATTGATCTTGCCGAGGATACGGAACAGATCATGGATCGCGACGTCCGCCATGGGGCTTGTACCGATGTTCTTTTGATCCGTTCTCACCGTGTCCACATCGGCCATGCTCTTGACTCGCCAAGAGAAAAAGGGGTTTACTGTGGCAGCGCCGGTGTCATCCAGCGGTGGCATCTCTTGTTCCGCAGCCGGTGTGTCATTGCTGTTCGAATCGTATTCACGTTCTCGACGCCTAGGCCATCGATCTCGGCCCCCGCGCCAGCGTATACGGATCTCAGTGCTAGAGCTGCGCCCTCTACGAATCATCTCCCCGTGCTCAATTGGATTGGAGGGGCTCTCGCGTCGTGCCTCACTGCGCCCGCGGACAACAATGTCGCGCGTGATCCGCCGGTCCTGATCGTTTTCAAGGCCTCTCCGGTGGTCATGGGGCTCGCGCACGAATACTGGCCCGGGTATTGTCTCATAGTCGACCCTATTGATAGCTTCTTGCCCCCCCCGGTAGACGGTCAGCTCTTTGTTGTTATGAGTCGGGCTCCTGCCGGTATCCTTGGAGTACCTATATCGCGTTGGCGCCGGCAACGGGGCGCGAGGACGGGGAGACTCCTGATCACTGCTCTTCCCGCTATAAAGTGGCGAACGTCGTTCGTGGTAGTATGGTCTTCTTGAGCGCGACCGAGCCCGGGATTTTGCTTTCAAGTGGAAAGTGTTATTCTCGAACCCATCAGAGCCCAGAAGTTTGAGCCACTTAGAAGGAGTCAAGACCTCAAGCTGCGCAGGCTCGCCCGCGTCTGCTGATGTTTGGGGTCCATATAGGATGTCGTATTTTGCAGCGTCGCGTGTCCGAGTTCCCGACGTGACCACCGCAACGGCATGTTGGAGAAAATCCTGATGAGGTTGGTCAGTCAAGGCCCAGTCAGGAGGCAAAGACAACAGAATTCCAACGTCCACGACTTACCACGTAGCTGCACTCGGGATCGATCACCATGCTGTTATAGAGCTCGACATCCTGTAACTTGACCTGGACAATGTAGAACCCACGGCCCGCCCTATCGTCAATCTCCACCAAGTCCCGTCGAAGGTCGGTCGAAGGGAGACAGCATAGCGTTATCATGATTTCTAAAAACGCCTCGTTAGTTCTGGCTTTAGAACACGGTTGATTTGTGCCTAGAAGCTGGTGCACGTACCAGAACCTAAGCTCAAGCACCATAGCGTAGCAACACATAGAACGTCACGCTCGCCTCCTACGCCCGTTTTGCGCGCGACCTGAGACAACTCACGCTCGTCCCCAACCTCATATCCACGAGTTGCCTTCAGCAGGGTGCCAGCATACGAGTGGTCTACCCCCAAGGTGCCGAGGAAAAGCATGGGCGCTATTTCCAAAGACACATACTGGTCCTGTTGAGTGACCGACCCCAGTCTCTGCGACAGGGAGATATTCGCTTCGGCCGTTTTGATCTCCTTCCTTGCGTGGTTCCTAAGGAACAGCAGGGCGGCGGCTCGGACCCGTGTGGAAATGAACGGGCAGTTGAGAACGAACCGCTTTGTATCTTATGAGTTAGCACGGCATTTGACATTCCCCGCGGCGTCACTCGCCAACCATCCAAAATGGAGATATTTTTGTAGCTCACCTCCAAGACCTGAAAGGCCGGCTCAACGTCGTCGGCTTCAAGAATGTTGGGCTGGACGTGCCTGGCTTGCGGTCAGTAGCGGCTAGTTGGTCAAACTGCGACAGTCGTCGTCTAAGCTCAGACTCACAGCCATCGGAACTGCGCCCGAGACTCTTCTCTCTCTTGACCCGTGGGACCGGATGATGGAGGAGGTCTCGAAGGGGACAGGAGGACAATCTTTTTCAGACCAGACTTGGACACCCTGTGCTCAATTGACTGAGCCACGATCAACTCGGTCGCGGTGTCGTCCTCAAGAATGGTCTTGGGTTGGGTCCATTCCTGTGGCAAGGGCTCATCGGGGTTCCTTGGCCCGTCGCTATCGAGGTCAATGCTGTACGTGCTCCGATCGCTTGGAGATAGTGAGCGACCGCTCCGGTAATACTCGCGGGACCTGCTTTCAGAACCATATTCGCCAATCCTTCGGCGTCTGTGATCATCTCTCCTCCGATAGTAGAGTGAGGTGGACTGTGGTGATGAACATCAGAGGCTGGCACACAGAATGATTCGATCTGTGATAATCTACCCGATCTCGCCGATCTCGCACATCACGGACGACGGTTTGAATGAAGTGGGGAGGTGGTGGAGGTCGTGGTCCTCGTCGTCCACTTTCCCGGCCATCACGAACCGGGCTGCCCCTTGGCCGTGACTCAGAAGAGGAACGGCTCGAATAATAGCCCGGCCTAACGAACTCGGGCTCCATTTCAACGTTTGCGACAGTCGGCGCTTCCGCCTCGTCTGGTGTTTCGTCCTCAATGCGAGGCTGTCGCTCGGCGGCCGCCCTGCTCGGGTCGGCCTCCATGGCTGGTGATGCTACAGTGGAAATGCGGGACCAGCGGAATTTGGAAGACGGGATTCAGAGGACAAGACAGGAACTAATCACAATATATTGCACCAAAGGTGTTTGTGGAAAAGTGCGAAAGACTTTCAGGCGTGGGGTTCAATTTCATCAGCTCTGAGCAGCCGAGTTCAGTTTCGTGGCTTCTGGGGGGCCGCATTGTGTTCATTCGCTACGGTATGTACGAAAGGCGCAGCTGAATTCTGGTGTAACCTTATGGTTGCTCGTTATCCCTTGACGCCGAGATGGAAAAAATCGGCCAATGTGCATCTCGCAAACCTTGAGGCGCCAATTGCCGGGGGTTAGTTACTTCTAGCTACTGGGTACACACTTGTCTAGGTAGAAGTGGTTGCACCCAACTCCTGTGTAAGAGCTCGGGCGAAGTGCGCTCGACACTGAGCTGCTGAGACTTTTTAAGCTTTGTACAACTCGACGGAAATACCAGAGTACCTGTGTGGGAAATGAGAACTTTATTGCTTTCGAAGCTGTAGTAATTTGTCTCGGCTACCTACTACGGTGAAGACAATGCTTCGGTTAAATAACAATATTAAAGGGCATGTATGTGAGGAATAGTGTGATAAATAGAGAGAAAAGAGAGAGGAAGATGAGAAGAGGAGTTGCCGAATTTGGCAAGATGAGTGGCAAAGCTGTCGGATGATTGCTGTGCTGTTGTGGGTCCTTGAAACCTTCCCACTTGAAGCTTGGCAACCTCAACTTCCTCCCACCTCAACAACACCACTACACACCACAGCCACCAACCCCCCAAAATGGCCGACCAAGACCTCATAACCTACGCGCGCGATGCCGCCAACCGCGGGGATGACCTATTCGCCCTCCTCGCCACCGACGCGACCGCCTCCGAATCCGACATCCGGCGGGCCTTCCGCCGCAAGGCGCTGACTGCGCACCCGGACAAGGCCGGCGACGCCTACGACCCAGCCCTGTACGAGCGCCTCGAGCGCGCCCGCGATGTGCTCGTCAGCCCCGAGGCCCGCGAGGCCTACGACAATGGCATGCGCGCCATCCTCCAGAAGAAGCTGCAGCGCGAGCAAATGTCTGACAAGAGGCGGCGACTGGTGGAGGACCTCGAGCGCCGCGAGGCGGAGGCGAAACGCGTCAAGACGGCGGCGACCCAGCCCCAGCCGCATGATGCGGAGCGCCGTGCGATGGCGGAGAGGGGGAGGGCCAAGATGGAAGAGATGAGGCGGTTGAAGGAGGAGGCGGAGGTGCGCGAGCGGTTGGCGAAAGAGAAGGAGGCTGCTGAGGCGGCGGCGACAGCGACTGCGGACGGGCCAGATCTATGCAAGGCAGCGCCAGACAACCGCCCCATACCCCCGCCGACGGTGGACGACTACGACGAGCGAATCGCGGATCTTGAGAGGCGGTTGAAGGAATCGCAACAGCGCAAGGCCGAGAAGCAGCAGCGCAAGGAGGAGCGGAAAACAGAGAAGGAGCGGAAAGCAGAGAAGGAGCGGAAAGCGGGAAAGAAATCCGGGTCGCTGCCGGCGCCCTGGCCTACGAGGGGAAAGACCCCAGAAAACCCTCCACCCTCTACCGCGGCAGAACCACACGCTGACAAAGACAAGCTTTCCAAGCCCGCGGAAGCCGCGCCTCCCGCACCTCAGTCTGGTGCCGGCGATCCGCCGAAAGCGAGCGATCGCTTTGCGTCGACTCTGGCCAGGTTACGCGCTGCCCAGGCAAAAAAGGACGAAGAGAAGAGGCGGAAAGCCGAGCAGTCATAGAGAGCAACGAACGACATCGTGACGCAGGGCCCACCAAAGTTCAACCCAATAGCGTAGGATAGAATCGATACCTATATAGGTAGACGAGGTTGATAATTACCATCAATAACAGCGTTTGAAAGTTAATGTCTGGGGGCCTTACGAGCCTGTAATTATCTTTCTTCTTCCGTCTATCGCCGGGAAAGCGGCATTCGGCCAAAAAGACAGGTCAGGTTTTGACCATAAGAGAATAAACAGGAACTCCAGCTCTATGACTGATAATTCTACCTTGGGACACTCCATCTCTAGTATACAGCCATGTACATACATATACAACACCTTCCCCAACCCCAGGTCTAATGCCCCTCTTTACTCGCCAACGCGGTCCTCAGCCAGTCCGGCACAAACGCCTTGATCCTCACCTTCTTCCCCTCGCCGCCCTCCTCCCCACTGCCGCCCCCCAACCCAACCACAAACTCATCCCCCTCCACAAACCCCGTCCCGCCCGTCTCCCCCGGCAGCACCACATCCGTCATGATCTCCAACCGACACAGCGCCAGCCCCAGATTCCCCACCCCGCTCAACCACTTCCCCGCGCTCCGCCCCTTCTTACCCACCCGCCCGATACTCGCCTCCGCAGGCACCATCTCCGCCGTCACCCCCTCCGCACCCACATCCGACCGAAACCCCACCTCCCCCGGCACCACCACCACCCCACCCCCTTCAGCTTGCCCATCAGGATAAAGCACGCACGGGAGCACGCGCTTGCGCACCACGCCGCGGTGCTCCGTGCGGATGGTCAGCTCCTGCCCCACGTAGCAGCCCTTGCGGAAGTCGACGGCCCCCGTCGCGTCCAGGTTGCTCTCGTGCGGCAGCGCCGTGTTGTAGAGGAGCTCGGCCTGGCCCTCGGCGATGCCGTGCCGGTAGCGCCGGAGGCGGTAGGCGGTTTCGGGGAGGGTGGGGAGTGGTAAGCTGGGGGTAGGGGTGGAGAAGGTGAGGAGGCGGTGGCCTAGGTTGGGGGCGCGGTGGTCCGGGGTGGTGATTATTGTTGGGGAGGAGCTGGGGAAGGATGGTTGGGTGGTGGTGAGGGAGGAGGGGTTGGCGTCGTCCCAGGCGTGCCAGACGCGCCCTTCCCCTTCGTTCAGCAGGCGCACGTCGAACTTGGCGCGCAGCTTGTAGCGCTTGATGTGCTTCTGCAGGCGGTCGGCCTCGGCGGCGTCGACCTCGACCAGCCAGCTGTGGCCGGCCGGGTGGGTGGTGTCGCGCACGTCGCGGTAGATGAAGACGTCGTGCAGGATGCGGCCCTGGGCGGTCAGGAAGGCGGCGTAGAAGCCCGCGTCGGAGCGCAGGTGCTCGCTGGTGGGGTTGGGACCGGCATAACCTGGGGTGAGGTTGGCGGTGATGACGCCTTGGAGGTACTTGGCGGCGTCCGGGCCGGAGACGGAGATGAGTTTCCGGGAGGACAATTCAGCTATGCCGGCGGGATAGAGGCCGGGCGGAGCGGCATTGCGGGGGGCAGACCCGGACAGGCCACGGCGTTGCTGGGGTGCAGATGCGGGTAGCGGGAGACGGGGCCGAGTGAGACATCCCCGGCAGGTGAACACACCGGACACACCACCACGGGCCCTTAACCTTACGGTGGAGGTCACAACCCTCCGTGCTGGTTGCATTGTGGTTGTGGTATGGTTAGGGTTAGGTTTGTCTACAACGAGGAATCATCTGAGCTCCTCATCTGAGTCGTGCAGGAAACCGTGAAACTTGCAGTGACGTCGATCCATCCGATCTGTCCGGTCGGGAAATCGTAATTTACACCGATCGGCAGCGGGACTTTGCAAACGCCGAAGATGGTCAATGCGCAATTCCAATTCTCTGCCCTGTGGGTGGGTCCGGGGTGAGAGGATTGAGTTTCCCAGGTCCCTGCCCACCACGCGGCAATGGAGACTCGGAGATATGCTCAAGGTGCGCAAAACGCCGTCCGCGTCGTCGGCTCTAACGTTCGGTTTCTTTCATGCAGCCGACTCCTTGAGTCTACACGGGGCTAGGGTATCCCCGCCGAAGACGACATCCCACTCATCGGTTCCATCAATTTCAGGTTTTAAACCTCCATCTTGTGAGCGCCGGGAGCGACCGGAAGCAGCCACATGTCCCACGCCGAAACCGCTGGGCATAGGTCGCCATGTCAGTTGACTCATCACGCCGAGTTGTTTCTTGTTTGGACAATATCGCTTCACGATGTGGATGGGAACCATCCTTGTCGTTTGGTCTGTGAACGGCAGGTTCGCTTCACCATTCATCACTTTTCCGATGGCGCCTGTGATATGCCGCAAGGCGGAAAAGGCGTTTGACTTGGTCACCGGACCGGCGTAGGTCGCATTAACCTACCTACCTTATCGATGCGTCGCAACAACACAGTAGTCTTCCAGATTCAAACAAGGCAAGTATGAGAAACGAACACATGCCATCTAGGGATTGGAGCCGCGATTGATTTACACCAACACCCACCACAGCAGTTTAACACCTTCCGCGATGGATCGGCTCTTAGACGGCGAGACGGTCCCAGTGGGCCCCTCAGCAGACGGTAGTCAATGGAAATGATATCCTCACCAGGCAACCCAATCCCTTCCCGACCCTCCAACGAATCCGTCCTTTCCCGCAGGCTCAATATGCAAGGCATTTCCTCGTGAACCCTGCTTCTCTTAGGGCGACTTATCAGAAACTCGGGCGTCTGTCGCACCGCAGGCAGCCGGGAGACGGGCCCGGGGAGGCGGGGCACTGCGGAGAGTCGCCGATCCCGCCAGAGTGGCGTTGTTGTCGGTCTACGAAATACGGGGAGCTCTCACACCCGGCTTCTTCGTTTCAGAGCATGATGCTAATCGTGGCTTCCAGTTCTCTGCCGCACCTGAGCAGCTAACAGGCAAACCACCCTTCGAACCTGCTTTTCATGCTCTTGGTGTTTCCAACTCTGCCCCCAAGGGCACGGCTGCATGATATTATCAAAGCCCCCAATACTGCTTTATGTGCCCCCGGCGGTCAACTGATGGCCTCGCCGTTTCACGTGAGGACCCGTTGCCGAGGCCTTGTGATGCACACCTGGAGCCCCCCTAATGGAGAGCCTCAGTTTCCCCCACCATCGCCGCATGTCGAGTGTGCCCACCAGTTGCCCCTCCTTTCCGGGACGTTGCCGGTCAACCCCCACACATGCCGAGAAACGGAAGAGAGAAAATCTGCCAACCTATGAGCATCATCGGTGTCGCTTCCGGAGGGCGGAGAGGCCCGAAGTCCTACATAGTGCAGAGAGGCTGTTGGCGAAAACCCTCACCGGTTGGGCGGCGATTGAGGACCTGCGAGAGTGTTGCCTCCATGCATGGTGCTCCACGGCGGTGACGAGAAAGGTCCACGTTGACCGCCAAGTCATGAATCGCTGCATAGTACTCAGCGTGATACTTTACAGTAGCACAGCCTCAGGTGGCCCTTTACCGAACTGATCGCTGCGAAAGGAAAGGGTGTCGCCGCGATGGGTCCCAAGTCTGGGCGGGCGAGTTTCGAAACGTTGCTTCTCGGTAGCACCAATGCCAAATGCTCAGCATGATCCGCAGCACATCCCCCAGAAACTGAAATCATATGGGTGGCGGATCGCCATCGTCGATTACGTTGGATTCACCACTGCCCCAGAACGGCCAGCAATCGTCGTTCGTTACCTCGAACCCGAGCGAACGAGGTTATCCTAAAAGCCGTTTCCAAATGTGTGACATTTCCGGGGGCCGGGGATCGTTCAGGCTTTCTTTTTTGGGTGCTCCGTCTCCACCACAGGGGACATCTCAGCCACCCTCACCTTAGGCGGCGGCATCCGCTCTTGCATCAGAATTACCCCAGATTGGCAGGGCTTTCGAGATGAGAGGGCACGCACGCCTGAGTCAGCCCGAGAAATTAGGCATCGCAATCTGGCCCTGCAATCTTCATGCAATCAAACCAGAAACGCGGGCGCGCAGTCATCGTGTCAATCGCAGAGCGCGCAAGCGGTGAGCGGAGATGGTCGGTGTAAGGATCCAGCAAAGCAGGGCGATGCGTTGGTACTGTGTATTGTTGTTGTGGTACCTCTTGGTACGAGTGGTAAACTAACAATTGCTGGGGTCGTCTCGTCTCGTCTCGTCCTTGCGGCGCGATGCAATGCCAAAACACAACTGCATCCAGAATCAACAAGCGACGGCCAAGTGCGATGAGACCCGTCCGTTTGTAGTAACATCTGAGCTCCTGAAACCGTCAATCCAAATCAGTTCAAACAAAGCCCTCGAGGTACTCGACCTTGAATTCGGCCGTCCGGGACCGTCTCGGCCTTGGCCACCGCCCCGAACGCCGCGGGCCGCGAAACCCCCAAAAAAACCTACCTTATTCGCAACTCACCAAAAAATGCCCCCAACACCACCTAACAAAGAAACAAGGATCGTGAAGCGCAGGAAATGAGCGATGATGAATCAGTTACGCACGCCCACCAACACCCTCAGCTGCTTAGGTAGGTCACGCCGCCCGCAACAGCAAAACAAAACCCAACTGCCGCCAATACCACACAGTACACGTAACCTCGCATCCCATCCGAACCCGACGGGCGGGGACCAAGGACTCGCAGCGCAGCGTGTGCAGTGTTGTCAGCCCTGTAAATCTCCCACAAACAGTGACAACATCACCCAAACCCCCAGGATAATCCACGTAACCACCCCCAAGGCCCCGCTGCAAACCAGGCCAGGCATCATCAAAAACAATTAACTAAGCGAGTGCGAAAAGAAAAGCAAAAAAAAAAAAAAAGCAAAACCCCGCGCCCGCCTCAAAAACCCGAAACGCGCGGAAGCCGGTGGGATTCGAGGACGGGATTGGGATCACATCACAGACAACCTCCCTCCTCGGCAGGCTCACAGGTTCTGCTTGGTCACCAGGACAGCCACAAGCGAGCAGCGGGAATTCCGCCGCTGCCCCGTCTCCGTATCTCCGTATCTGTCCATAATAGGCGAAAAAAAGAGACAAGAACCTCAAGAGCCCGTTCCGTTCGGTCAGGTACGAAAAAGGCGGACCTATCAGCGAAAGTTCCCGTTGCCGAGACTGTCTTGGGAGAAGTGATGTACTTGTTGGCAGCGCCCCCGGGGTGGGTATAGAGAAAATCAGTGGAGGGTGGCCCACTTTATTTTTTTGTGAATCATACCGCCGCCTCGGGACCGATCTCCACGCTCGAGTCCTAGCTGTGAGAGATCGAGCTGGAAAGGGTTCGGGGGCGTGGGGATGAAGACAGGACAAAGTTTATGAAGGTGATTGTCAATTGCAGATGCATGGCACTGGGAGTGGCTCGAAGACAGGTAGTTTGATCATGTTGATTTCAATTTTATTTTTTGGCTGCCGCCTTTGTTGGCGGTCAGCCTGCGCTAAGCTAAAGCTTCCCACTCAACCTCGGCGAGATAGCGCCAGGGAGCGGGAGCTTGATAGAGAAGTGTGTGTGTGTGTGAATCCATCCATCTGTGGTAGGAAATATGTGTGTCCTCCAATATCGTCCTCCTGCTTCCATGTCCGAAACCCAGGACTTCGTACCACCCCCATTATGTATTGAGTGGTGTAGTAGTAAAGATGCAATGACGCTGCTGCTCCCAATCCAAAACAAAGTAAAACATAACTTTTTTTTCGCTCCCAGTATCTGGTATCATATCGAGAACGCCGGCCCATGCAGAAGGAAGAGCAAACACAAGACAAGAACAAGACCGTTTTAGTACACCGACATGGCCGAGATGAGTCTCGCCGGGCTTCGCGGTGGGAGGTAATACCCCTCCTCGTAGAAGGCGGTCTTGTCTCCTTGGTCTATTGTTGTCGCTGGTGTGCTGCTCCCCTTCCGCGTCTCCTCGAATGCGGGGATCAGGGTCGTAGGTGGTGACGGCGGCATCGACTCGTCTTCTGTCGAGGCGTCCGAGTCGTCGTCGAGCTCAGGTGGTGATGAGGGCGAGACGGAGTGTGATGGGCTCCGCTGCAGGGCGAGCTGGGTGAAGTCCTCCTCGTCGTCCATGTCATAGTCCTCATCCTCCTCCTCCAGGTCGACGCGGAATGGGTAGGCCGCCTTGTGCGGCAGCATGGTGTGCGAGGGTATCCTCCGGAGGGCGACGGCGTCGGCCATCTCGATATCCTCGTCGTCGTCAAAGTCGGAGTCGGAGTCGGAGTCAGACTCGGCGTCCTCGGCTTGCCAGTCGTGCTCGGGCTCCTCCACGATGGTATCCGCCCACTGGATGTGCCTCTCCTCGGTGGTGGTGCTGGGCGAGGCGCCGCGGACGGACTGGTTGAACCACGACTCTTGCTCCCTCTCGGCGTCGGCGAGCTCCAGCATCAGCGAGTCGAGCATGTTGGCGTGCCCGACGAGCAGGCGGAGGTTGTGGTCGGGGCGGGCAGCTTCCGAAGACAGTTTTGCCCGGGCCTTGTGGGCGAGGAAGTAGGTTTGTGCGATCGACATCTTCTTGTTGGCTCGGGGTCGGAATGGGGACGCGGGAGCTGCAAAGGAGACGGACGAGGAATGTAGTGACCTCGAGGGTTGTGAGTTTCTTGGTGTTTGAATGGGAAGAGGAGAAGACATTTTGGCGGGTCTTGTAGGCTTCCAAATATTTGGTGTGCTTTGGCGTTATCGTTCCGGTGAGTCAAGGCACGAAAGCCGATTGCGGGATAGCCGAGTTAGGCAGGCTTCAAGGGTGTGAATTCAGGCCGGGGTGGGGGTGGGCCAAGAAAGTGGTAGCCAGGGCAGGGCAAGGACCATAGGACTTGAGCAAGTGAATTCCAGGATGGAAGTCAAGAGACAAACTTGTCAAAGCAATAAAGTAATTATCACTTAGTAGTGGTAAAAAAGACAAGATGAAGTGCTGACCTGGTCGATGACTGAGAGGGACATGTGCCCGAGGAAAGGGCGGCCCCGAGTCCTTTTGTAATCTTGACCGTCAGTTGGTGTTCGGCTCTTCCAAGACACCGCAGGTCACCAGAACCTGGCTTGTTGTATCATCCGCAGCAGCTGACAAAAACCGAGAGTCCGATCTCCACCCCGGGCCCGCCCTTCGCCTGCGCATAATTACCTACCCTTGTAGGTTAGCGAGAGAAACGCGGCCTCGACCACGCCCTGCGCCGTCCCCTTCTGTAGCGAGTAACGCTCCCATACACAGTACATCAGTACATGCTGAGACGCGGCGGCGGTGAAGCACCGTTGGACGGTTTGGCGTTGCCCCGACCGCGCCTGATCCCCCCCGCGCAGGGCCGCCTTGTCGAGCCTGTCAGGCCCCAACACAAACACAATACGTATCACCATTTTTGGTGCGCTGTCCATCGCTCCATCGCTCCATGGCTGGATCGCTGGATCGCTGGCAGGAACGTACCCGTGGACAACAGGAGCACAGGGAAGCATGGATTTACCCCGTTTCGGGCCACGGCGCCAGACTTCCTCGTAGGACGGACGGAGTTACTGCGTACGCTCCAGCCTAACCCCGCCTCCGCCCTGATAAACGCGGCCCTCAGACTGATTGATGATGAACCCACCCTTCGTCCCGCGTTCACTCATCGCCGTGCTGGATTTGTCGGCGCCAAGGCCCTCCAAGCTCCGGCGATTGTTAATCAGCAACGCCGAGCACCCCGCATTCGCAACGACAGTCGCAGGACTTTCGGCATCTTCTCGTTTCTGTCTGGATTCTACCACTTTAGGGTTTACCTAAGCACTCGTCTCATTATTAACCATGGTGCCTTTGCGCTCATAATAAGCTTGAATGATGCGCTCGTTTCCCTGCACGCGATCCTCACCATCCCGGCACGACGGTAACTGTTTCGTACCTTGATTTCTAATTGCCCAAACGGAAGGAAGGCTCTTCAATCTTTCTGCGGTAAGAGTAATTTCACCTTCGACAATGCACGTCTCATACGTCCCAATCCCATCACAGTTTCAACGGCCGAGTACTTCGTAGTACTGGTAAGGACGTCAACGCCAATACGTCAGTCAACCAGAGCCACGGCATCGAGGCAGGCAATGCATCTCGTTTACACGCCACAGATACGCGATAGCATTACGGGTTCATCATCTCCGCCAGCACTCGGCGTCGACAATTCAGATACCCCATCCCGCGACACCATATGCATGGAACGTCGCGAGAAGGACCGCACCGCCCCCTTGCGTATAGTGTATCGAGTCATCAAATGCAACGGGCTCCCGGCGGTGTGGGCTCTCAGCAATTGCCATGCGAACGACGAATGAGGACTTGAGTTCGGCTACGACCGTAACACCGAGTTCGAGGATGGCTCGATGGCTCATTGCACCGCCCGAGTCATCTGTGGGGAGGAGGAAATTGCGGGCTTGGGGGGGTTCGGTACGGGCCCGATCTGATTCGTCCTCTCCCCGTAGGGCTGATTACCTGATGTGCACCGTCCTGGTGGGAGGACGAGAAACCACATGGCGACCGAATGGGGATGCCGCTCATCTCGTCGAGTCCTGGGGCAGGGCGTGCCCTCACGGCACAGCCCAGCCACGAGCATTTCGTCGGTATCGCTCATCGCTTGGGCGCCGTGTTGCTCTGACTGCAGGAGTCTTATCTTCTGTTCAAGCAAGTGGAGGTTCCATGTCACGTAGCATCTCCACATGCGGGCTTCTCTTTTCTTCTTCTCGAAAAAACGACGACACCGAGACCTACTGCGAGATCGGGAATCTGGGTCGAAATCTGTCTGGCAAGGGGATTACGCAGCAGCACCCAACGCAGCCAGCCCATCACGACGATTGGGAGATAGCCTCAACGTTTTGGGACGCAAAGGTCGATGGATGACGAATGGCCCTCGCATGGCGGCCCAATCACGTAAGTCTCCGTGGCTGCTCGGTTGTAATTTGAAGGCTGCCTGGATTTCAGGGTACCCACCACCCTTCCATTTCCAATTCCAGATCGGAATGGTCCCTGCGTTCACAGCGTCTCGGGGTGAATGCCCGCTCCGGCCCCGGTGCTCCGTCGGCGCTCAGAGGCTCAGTAATCTGTAATCTGTAATCTGATCCGCGGCCTGCTTTGATCTCTCTCGCGTCCGAAATACGATGCGCGTTGCCCCGTGATGTCATGCGGGCTGCAGCCACTTTAGTGGAAACCCCAATTGCCCAAGTGTGTATTTGCCTTGTCAGAGAATTGCGACAAGTTGACTCGTCAACTACCATTTATTGCCCAAACAGGGACAGTCTGCGTCGCCTCGTTGATGTTTCACAGAATACGGGCAAAGCGAGCGACAGCGTGCTTGCGTGCAAATTACATGCGTATCGCGCGTGTCACTGGTACTTCCAAATCGGAGATATTCCGGAAACTTCACTCGGCCTCCATCAACTTCATGGAAACTTTCTCTGAACTCGTGCGCTTGCAGCAGTTTCCTTGGCTGGTGCCCGGAACGCCGGAACTCAACTTTGAGTCTTTCGGGCAAAGCAACTACAATAAAGCCCGCAACGGAGCAATTCGGAATAGCCACGCTAGTAAATATGTAACTGTAGGTTGTCCCCCACGCTCCATTTACCCGCATCTCGATTTGGGGGTTTGTGAAGGTCACTCAGGATCACCATGCTTGAAGTGTTGCGGGTGTTTTCGAATGTGCCGGCCCGGCTGTTTCTCGTTCGGTCCGGTCTTTTCCACGCAAGGCTCTGGTGACCGGGTTTGTTTGTAAACGGAGGGGGGTTTGAACGACAGGTGGAGAAGGTATGGAAACGCAGAGCCTTGTAGGTCGCGTCTCCTTGCATTGCAGTGGGTGGAAAATGCATTTGTCAAGGCAGACCGACATACTAAGGACTACCTTGGGCCTTCAAGGGACCCCTATAGCCTACCTAAGTAAATAGGGAACTTAGACCTTGGGAGCATCCCTGCAATCCAGGTAAAGAGGGAACTACGAATGCATACTAAGAATATCGAGTTTGAACGCTGCCCTAGGCTGAGTCACCAAGTTCCCGAGGCTCGCTGTTTATATCGGGGCGTCTTCATTCTAATAGGGAAATGGGGGATGGCATGGCCGTGGCAGTTCGAAAGCCGCTACCTACTTAGTAAACACCTAGGTAGTCTTGGAATAAGTCATGATGTTAACTAGTGCCAGCAGGCGTACCACCTACAGACTTGGACATTGTATCGACCATCAATTCCAGCGAAACGGCGTGCAGTTTACGTTTCCAGTGCTGACACCGCCTATATATATTCTGCACGGTATTCACGTTTACTGTCATGCTTGGTTTGGTACCTTGAGCTCTTGAACCAGGAATCTTTATGTCACTGAATGTCCAACTTACTTTGTCTTGACTCTGAGCCGGTAGTCACAAACCTGCCGTTTCACATGGCCCCCAAGCATCAAAAATAATATACTATGAGTTGGTATAGATACTATGAACTGAGTAGCGGACCCCTAAGGTTATGTAAATCATCGAACGATAGCAAGCAACTCCAACAATGCCCCCCTAACACCATCACCTTCCATGATGTTTTGTCTACATCAACCGAGAAAGCGATCCAGACGCAACTATGCGACCCATGATGCTGGCCACTCGACCGGTAGGCGTTCCATAAAAGTAAACCCATATATGACATGATTAGCACCTCGTAGATGGTTGTTCTCCGAGCATAACTCAACGCCTCTTCCACTATTCACCCACCCTCTCACTCACCCACCCACTCGCTCAAGTCTCATCCAGTGCACACCAACTCAATCCAACCAAAACAAAAC